ATTTGAGAAATTCAAGAAAAAGGGAAGAATATTTTGGGACATGAAGGTGATATCAATAAAAAAAATATTTTTGCACTAGGAAATATGTAGCATTTGTATGCCACAGATCTTGGCCCCTGGGGTTCTCGCAGTTTAGGAGGGGATGGCACAAATTGTAAGGAACAGTGTCACCTGATTGACAAGTGAATTACATATTTGTAAAATGAAGTGCTTCTGGAGGTCTGCTAAGAGTTTGAAGAGAGATGAAAGGAGAAATCGTCCAAGATGCCTGTAACTAAGTCGATTGGAGAGGGATAAAGACAATGTGTCCCTGGGTTTGCTCGGGACGTGGAGGCCATAAAGAGGTGAATACCAGTGTCTAGTTAGTTTCCTGGAAGTGATGAAGCATTTAAGCCAAACTGAATAAATTCCCTACTTGTAATTTTTTCTTAAAGAGTAGTCACTGTTATGTTTTTTATACATTAAAAAAGTCTTATTGATGCCTTTTTTATTTCTTTTTTTTCTCTTTTTTTAGCATAGTTCTTGGCACATAGTAAGCATTTAAATTATTGATTTAAAGTTGATTGATAAAATCATGACTACATCAATAAAATTATTGATTAATGAATGCTTATCTTTTATACCATGTTCATTTCAAACTTGGATCCTGTCCCCCACCCTTTGTAACAAAGGAAAACAGTTAAGCAAAACTAAATAACAAAATGACTGATGGCATATGCTCCCATGGTCCACCACCCTTCTGAAAGGAGGGGAGTGTGTTTTGTGTTCTATTCTGAAGGATCAAAATGGGTGGTTATAATTAATCTGAGTTCAACTGCCTTTCGGTATTCAGCGTTTATGTTATTGTAGCCATTGCATATGTTTTTCTCCTAGTTCAGCCCCACCTTGCTCAGGGTTACAGGACCAGGATGTGTGAGAGATCTTCCTGAATGGGATTCTTGTGATCCCCTACACCAAGAAGCCCCTCATTCATCTCTAGGTAGATAAAGCTATATTCACTTTATTCATGTATGTATGAATATGATGCTTTTGAGCCTGAAAGATGATTCTTCTGTTTTATTTACTGTCAGATGTAGTTAATGTGGTTTGTTTCATTTTTTTGTTTGTTTTTTTTTGGTAGAGCTGTCCCTTATTTTTCTTTCAATGATGTTATTAGTATCTTCTGGGATTATTTTAACCACCTAAATTTCATCCTGTAAATCCTGCCACCTTTATTTTTAATTCTTGTTACAAGGCATGACTTACTGGGAGGGATGTATTTGGAAATGAGGGTGTTAAAACAAAAATCAATTTAAAAAAATTTTTAAGTGCTTTCACAGTTAGTATCTCCTTTGTCCCTTATAGCACTGCTGTGGGGGTAAGCAGGCCAGATGGCATTATCCCCATTAGACAGATGAGCAAACTGAGTGGGGTTAAGAGGTTAACCTCAAGGTCATATCCAGACCAGTGGCTGAGCCAGGTCTAGAACTTGGGCCTCCTTGCTCCCAATCTGGTGCTCTTTTCATTATAGTGTGTATTGGAGATTAATTTTTTTTGCTGTCTTATCTGCTGGTGAAAGCTTGTGGCCAGTGGAAAGTCACGTGGCGAGGCTTTGATTCATCAGCCTGGCAGCTGGTGTGGCAGATCCATCAGAAAGGAACTGAAGATTTCAGTCCCCTACATTTGGGCTGCTCGGGATTTTTCCTTCTGCCAAGCCCTGAATGTGAAAATGTGTCCAACTGCTAAGCTCTCCTCAGGCCCTTGGCGCCGGCGTGGGGAAGGCAGGTGGTCTTAGGAAAGGATCCCTTTAGGTTGCTGCACAGCGCACACAACACTGAACAGTGTGAGACAACTGTCAGTTCCTTCCTTCCCTTCTCCCCCTCCTCAGCAAAGCTGGGTCGCAGATGGATGAGCTGGAAACATGTCAACCCTTCTCTGAAGGGCACAGCAAGAGCACAGTCCCAGGGAAAGGCACCAGCTCCATCATTTGGCTAATCTGTTTGGCCCGAGGAGAAAGCGTCCTGCGAGCAGGAGAGGATTGGGAAGGGCTGGTTGGCCTGTCTGTTATCACCTTCCCTGGCCAGACTGGCCTCTCTCTGGCTTCCAAAGTGGCCAGCAGGCTTCTCCCCCGGGAACTTGGAAAGTTTGATGTTAAGTATCCTTCCTTGCATATGTCTCTAAAGGGTAAACATTTTTGAAGGGAAAAATGTGAAGTCTAAGGTAGACAGCTTTATTTTCTCATTGTTAAGAACTGACATTTATATAGTACTTTAAAGTTTGCAAAGCACTTTTAATGACATTTCATTTGGGCTTTGCTACAAACCACGTGAAGTACTCTGACCCCATTTTACAGATGATGAAAAAGACTAGGAGTTTAAATGGCTTTTCTTATAAGAGAAGGAAGTGTAATGTAGTTGGATAGAAAGTACTGGAGATAGAGTCACAGGGGCCTCGCCCTGGAAGTGGAAGGGACCTCTTAAGCCAACTCCTTCATTTTAGAGATGAGTAAACTGAGGCCGTGGGAGTTAAATTATTTCCCCATGTCCATAGAGGCAGGAAGCATTGCAGGTTGATTAATTGATTGACCAATGGAGTTGGTCCACAGTACCTCAAAGGGGCTGTAGCAATTGAAATTGAGGTAAACGGAGATACAAAATTACAATTCCAAGCACAGTTTATTAGCAAAGTGTGAATTTGCCAATAAATAGGGTCTCAGCCTCTTCATCAATAGCTAAGACCCCAAGGTAGGGCTTTAGAGATCATTTTAATAGACAAAGGAGGAGCATTCATAGTGAAAGGTTAGCATTATAGATGGGAAAACACCATGTTTGGCTGGAGATCGTGTATGAGAGGAGATGGGGTAACAACACCTCCCCACCCCGCCTTCCGTCTGGTTGCTGATTGATTGTGTCCACCTGTAAGGTTAGTTAATGGTACATGGATAACAAACCAGACTTCCTTGAAGGGTGACTAGTGGGATAGAGAGAACAGTTTTCTTTGACATAAGAATAGACCGTTGATTTCACAAAAAAACTGAACCTATAAACTTGGAGAGAGACAAGGAATAATTTACAGAAAAGCTGAACTTCTAAACTTAACCTGGAGACAATAAAACATGACTAAGCCAGTTACACAAATGTCAGTGATAATATACAATGAAATCAATTCTAAAGTAGAGTCAGTTTGATTTTTTTCAGGGCCTAGGTTCTAAGGCCTTCTCAGACTCTTTCACACCTGTGTGTGACCCTTGACAAATTACTAAACTTTTCTTCATCTCAAGTCCCTCATCTGTAAAATGGGGATAAAAATACCCGCAATTCCTACCATATAGGGTTGTTAGGCTTAAGCAATAATGGTATTGTTCAATATGCATCGATAACATATGCAAAAGGTTTTGCAAACCTGAAATCACTGTGTAAGCTTTAATAGTCATCATCCTCTGTTCCAGGTTAGCTCTTCAAGTGTTGGTCCAGCTCTAGGGAGAAGAAACCTTCAGACTGAGCCTGACCTTTGACCCTGTTTCTTTATTTCTAAATTGCAGTAAATATGAAATGGAATCATGGCAAGATCAGTAGGATACATAATTGAAGAACGTTTTGTTCCCAGGAGACAGGCGTAGTTCAGTTTTCAGGTGGTGAAAGAATTAGATTTGACCTAATTATCAACTAAAGTAAATGACTGATTCTTCAATAAGAAAGAAATTTCTTTTTGAAACCATCAGGGCTTGGAATCCGGCTACTCTTCCCTTCTCTGTGAGTCAATAGAATCAGGTTTATATTCATTCAGACCAAATTCCACCACAGTCATGTGAAGCTTGTCTGGCTTTCCCTCCTGCCATCCTCTCCTGTCCAGGCCTTCGGTGATTTCAGGCAGCTGCTATAAATCACCCCAGAGGGAGATGCGACCTCTGCTCAGTCTGGACAGTTCATTGAAATTTATAAACGAGCTTCATGATGGGGAGTGTTCTCTAACAATCTGATGGTGTGCCATTCCTATTGCATGCTAGGAAGCTTGAGGAGTGTGATCATGAGTGTGTGTGTGTGTGTGTGTGTGTATATGTGTGTGTGTGTGATGGGTTTGAGGAGCTGGGTATATATATATGTGTATATATATATATATATACATGTGTGTGTGTGTGTGTATATATATTTGTGTGTGAGATGGGTTTGGGGAGCTGGGTATATATATGTGTGTATATATATATATATACACGTGTGTGTGTGTGTGTATATATATATATATATTTGTGTGTGTGTGGTATGTCTGTCTGTCTGTGATGGATTTGGGGAGCTGAATTTCTAGAGACATTTCCATCCTTAGCTCATTTCAAGTTGATGAACCTGTTTTTTCTTCTGTAAAATAGTGTTACCAGCTGCCCCTTCACCCAGGAGTAAATGTTTAACAACCCACTATCCAAAACACACTCTTAAGTTTAATCTGCATTATTACCATTTTCTTCATCTCTCTCTTATGTCTAGGCCATCAACAAAATAATAAATCAAGCCCTGACTTGTAGCGTTTGCAGGTGTCTGAAGTCCAAATGCTCACACTGAAAATTTAACAATTGGCTTTTGTGAGAGCAGTGTCCGGCCGGCTCCTGCACACCTTTGACATTACCCATCTTGAAGGGTTATTGGGAATGAATGAAATGCCATCTCTGAAGCTTTCTAGTTAGGCTTTTAGAGAACATTACAGAGTCCAGTTCCATTATCAGTGGTAAAGAGGAAATGCTTCAGGTCTGAAATCCAGAAGACTCGAGTTTTAGTCCCTCTGCTGCAAACTCGCTGTGTGACTTTGGAGGAGTTATTTTCCCCCTCTGAGCCTCAGCCTCCTCATATTTAAAGACGGGAGGGAGACGTTGGATTGTATAGCCTCTCGGGTCTTCTCCAATTCTAAAAGCCTTTGTTAGAATGTTATGAATTTTGCTATTTCCCAGAGCTGCCTTTTGTAGCTCACTGTATAACATGTCTCACCTGTGAGAGTCCACCTGTTGACATAAGTATCCCTTTTCGTCTTCACAGTTGCTAGTGAGAAGAGGGTGCCAGCGATGCCTGGATCCCCCGTGGAAGCGAAAATACAGTCAAGATCTTCGCCTCCCACCATGCCTCCACGGCCACCCATCAACCCTGGCGGGCCCCGCCCGGGCTCCTTCACCCCTACAGCATGTGAGATTGCCTGCCCTAATTTTCAGCACTTGCCTGATTTGGTTTAATGCAACATTTAGGAGATAAGGGATGATGGGGCAACCCTGGTGTTTCCTTTTCTCACCCACATGAGACACTTTCTCTACCCAGGAGATCAGATAAGGATAGGAACAGGACCTCTGCTCTCATTAGGATAGGGAATTCCCTTTATCGATGTAAGATGCTGACTTTTTCTTTTCTTTTCTTTTTTTTTTTTTTTGCAACTTTATACTCTCAGGGCAGAAGTTCTTACTAACTGTGGGAGGGAGGACTTCCCTTTGATAATCTAGTGAATCTGATAGACCCCTTGTCAAAGTAATGTTTTTAAAGGCATAGGATTGGGGCAGGTAGGTGGTGAAGTAGATAGAGCACCAGCCCTGGAGTCAGGAGGATCTGAGTTCAAATCCAGCCTCAGACACATAATACTTACTAGCTGTGTGACCCTGGGCAAGTCACATAACCCCATTGCCTAACCAAAAAAATAAATAAATAAACGCATAGGATTACCAAGGAAACCAGTTATATTGAGATTCATTGTCAGATTTTTTTTTTTAAAAAAACAAGCTTCTAAGACCCAGCACTTGAGATGTTAAGGGCATTCAGCTTGTAGGTGTCAGAGGTATAATTTGAACTTGGGTCTTCCTGATTTAGAAGTCAGCTCGCTGTCTGCTGTGCTCCCTCTCAGACCTTGCCTAATCCAGGTTGTTTCTGAACCTGGTGCTCTGTTTGGGTTTCCCACGCTATTTTTGCCTGAGGAATTTTGTGGTTCTTTTTTGAGTGGAGTTAAAATGGCCAATTTAAATGATTATCTTGGATTTTCAAAATGCTTAGGACTCCAAATATTCCCTTCCTAATTTTATTGGAATTTTAGGGCAATTTCCAAAATGCCAGCTTGACTATCACCAGATGCTGGTGTTTTTTTTTCCCATGTGAGGACACATTAGAAGCAGCTCTTTGTGGAATGGGATAGCGTGTCTCTGTACTGCCTGGCACATTTTAGATGCTTACTACATACTTATTTATTGACTGCATCTGCCTTAGTTTCCCCTCCCTGTATAGCATGCTTCTCAGCAGCCATGACCCAAACTCTGGGTAGCCTCTGGCGGTGTCCTCACACGCTGATCCATGCCCCTGATTTTTCTCTCTTTTGCTCATTGCTCCCAATCTCCAGTCTCCCATACCCAGTACCTCCATTCCATGGGTACCACATTCTAATTCTGTTGAGCCCAACTCTAGTGTCTGCAGGTGGGGAAGAAAATCATCCTTAGTAGAGGGAAGAAATTATATGTCACCCCAGGCTGGGTTAACATAATTTCTGGACCTCCAAGCAGAAATCCCAGAAAAGGACTTTGCTTGCAAAATAACTAGGCCTACGGTGATGGAAGGAACCTTAGGTAACACAGGGCCTGCTCCAGGATAGGGCCACACTGTGCTTATTATGTGGGCATCAGTGGAAAATGTCCCAGGATCATAGAATTAAAGCTGGAAGGGACCTTGGTGGACACCGAGTCTAATGCCCTCAGCTAATCCACTAGGTTGCAAAGTGGATAGAGCACCAGACCTGGAGTCAAGAAGACCTGAATTCAGATCAGGTCTCTGATACTTGCTGTGTGATCCTGGGCAAGTCACTTAACTTCCTTTTACCTCAGTTTCCTCATCTGTAAAATGGTGGTGGGTGGGTCATAATAGCATCTACTTCACAGGGTTGTGTAAGGATCAAATGAGATAATTGTAGAACGCTTAGTACAATGCCTGGGATATAGTAAGCGCTATATAAGCGTTAGCTATTATTAGTATTACAGATAAAGATACTGAGGCAAGCAGAAGTTAATGGACTTGACCCCAGGAGGTACAGGGAGTGGGATTCACACACAGGTCTTCTGCCCTTCAGATCCAGGGCTCCATCCACGCTAAGCACCAGGTTGGCCTTCATGCAGCAAAAGATCAGTGAGGAGGAGGCCCAAGAGATTCCAAGGCGAGCATTTAGCCAAGGGCCTCATTTTCTTTGACAGATGTGATCCCTTGAAGTTACATAGCTGGGCTGTGGATTGATTTTAACCCCAGGTGAATGAGGCCACTGGAGAGTACTGAGCAAAACCAGTTACTGACTTGTGGCTTCTGGTCTAAACAGGCCTGTGTATCTTGAAATGAAGCAGACCTTAATTACCTGATAAACATTTCCTGGTGTTTAGACTTCAGAGGCCAGGCAAGGTTTCAGATGCCTGCATGAATGTCTTCCATTTTTATCTCCATGTTTGGCCACTTGGGGGTGGGTATGTTTTATTTGGGAAAAGACTGGGTCATAATAAGCTTTTATTCAGCTGGCTGTCAGAAAGGCTTCCTTTAAGCTAAGGCCTGTGGGAAGAGGAGCACGCAGTCAGGGTGGGTCAGTGATGTGGCGCTGGTGGTGGTAGGAGGGTGTTTATGGGGTCACTTGAGGAGGGCAGCGTTCCAAAGACAACTGACCTTTCAGTGGAAACACAGGCAGTAAAACAGATCATAGAATGGGGGCGAGAGGTGAGGGCTTCATATTCATTGGCCATTTTTATGCAGTAAACAATGCAGATCCAGCCCCTCTATCTGCCCTTTGCTAGACAATGGTTGAGAGTGGCCATGGCCAAAATAATCATCCCCCTGCAGCCTAGTTGGTCGTGAGCCTTGGCCTTACCCCTGGACAACAGACATACCAGCCAACGGCCATAGATTTAGAGGTGGAAAGCAGTTTAGTTGGCCCTTTAGGCCAACTCCCATGTTGTAGGGGAGGAGGCTGGGGACTAGACAGGTTGAGTGAGTTGCCCAAAGTCACACAGCTGGTAAGCAGCACAGCTCGAATTTGGTCCCATGTCCTCTAATTCCAAATCCATTGTCCTTTCCACTACCATAAAGTATAAACAAACAAGAGCTATGAACAAGATGGAATAAGCGTTCATTGGAGAAGAGAGAGGAGGCAGCTAGAGCGCTGGGCCTATAATGAGGAAGACCCGAGTTCTGTGTGACCCTGGGTGAGTCACTTCACCCTGTTTGCCTTAGTTTCCTCATCTGTAAAATGAGGTGGAGAAGGAAATGGCAAACCATTCCAGTATCTTGGCCAAGAAAATCCCAGATGGGGTCACAAAGAGTTAAACCTGACTGAACAACAACAACAATGGGAGGGGAGAGGTTATTTTTTAATTCAGGTACAAGTATGGGAAGAAGATGGAGATTAGAGAAGGCTGCTTGAAGGAGTTGGCATTTGAGCTAGGCCTTGAAGGATGAATAGAATGTTAACAAAAGGAAAGGTTAGGGACAGGGTGGAGAGGGGAGGGGGATGGGGAGTGCCTTCTGGACATAGAGAATATCATTTGCTTTAGTAAAAGACTCTGGCTGCCCCTCTCAATGACCCAGCCTGCCTCTCAAACCACTTCCAGCATCAAGCTGATTTTTGTGGTGTGTTCAACTGGAAAATTATACTGAAAAGCATGTAGAATCCCCTTGTAGTATAAGTATCAGGATTTGTAATTTTAATTAGTAAGAAGCAAATTAATTCTATCCAAAGTCTGATTTCTCAGTATTAGAGCTGGACATAGGGACTGGACTTTTCATTGGTATAGGAAAGTTGTCCAAGGAGGAGATGCCTTCTGCCCAGGGCAGATCAGCACCTTCTCTTCAACTTAGAGTTTTAGAAAATTTGATAGAACTCTAACCCTAGGGAAGTGGTTAAGGATTACACAGCCAGTCTACGTCAGAGGCAGAATTTAAACCTGGATCTTCCTGGCTTCACAGTCAGCCCTGTGCCACCCTGCCTACATAGTATTATAAACAGTGTACAGACACACACACACACTCACACACACTTTTTTGGCTCTACTGTGTCACATTGTTGATTCATTATATTAAGATCTTTCACACGAACTGTTGTCCAGCCATGCCTCCCACGTTAACTTGGGAAGTTAATGTCTTGGACTTGAATGTAGGGTTTCACATTTATCTTAAGTCTTGCATTTTCTTAGAGTGGGTCCATCATTTAAGTCTGCTAAGACTTGGAGTAGGGGTCGGGAGTGGGGGGAGAATCTTGAATCTTGTCATCCAAGATGTCACTTGTCTATAGAATCAGCAGCCTCGGCCTCAAAGGTAGACGGCGTTAGGGACAGGACTGGCCTTGAGGTTCTTGATTTGTGCAGGTCACTTATCATGGTTCTCGGTGTTCCTCTTCAGTGTCCAATGGGATTAACCATTCACCACCCACCTTGAATGGCGCTCCATCCCCACCACAGAGATTCGGCAACGGCCCTGCGTCATCCTCGTCCTCATCGCTTACCAATCAGCAGCTTCCCGCTACCTGTGGGGCCCGGCAGCTCAGTAAACTGAAGCGCTTTTTGACTACCCTCCAGCAATTTGGTAATGACATTTCCCCCGAGATTGGAGAAAAGGTTCGGACCCTCGTCCTGGCTTTGGTAGTAAGTATAACAACCCTCCCCATCCCCCACAGCCGCAGTGCCTGACTCTCCTTCCCTTTGTCTGAATCCCCCTCGTTTTCTACCCCAGAATGACAGAAACTTGGTAGTTCCCAGAGACCATCGTCATTCTGTTCTGCAATATTTATGTGTTCTGTTCTTATTTATGTGTTCTGTTCTCATGCTCATGCAGAATGTAAACTCCTCAGGGGCAGGGGCTGTTTTGTTTCCTTATTCTATCCCTGAACTCACCCAGTGACTGGCTGATAGTACTCACTTAATAAATGCACGCTGATCTGGATTGAATTCATAGTAAGGATGTTAATCCAAGAATTGTTATGCTCTTTACTGTGGTTGCAGTATCTTTTTTGTCTGGCCTTCTTTCAGGTCTGATGAACCTGCCAGGGTTCTTTTCTTCAGCCTCCTTAACCGTCTCCCAGCAGGCTGACGTTCAGCAGCATCGGGCCAGGGTTTTTATTTCCTAGGTCATATGCCTATGACATTGTTTCCAAAATAAAGAGGAGAAAACTGAGCAGCAAGTTTAATTTCCAAAACAATAATTTTCCAAATTACAAGCTTTGCAGTGTCTGTGAACAGCTCCCAGGGGCTCCCACTGCTCAGCACCTCACAGGAAGGCAATTCCCTCAGAACTGCTGAGCGCACGTTATTTCTGTAGCTGCCACATTCGCATTCAGGCCCTCTAAGAACGAGGTTGTGCAGGGAAGCTGTGATTTCCTCGTCTGCTGCTCAGTGTACTTTCTTGCCATTGCTTTCAGAAGGGTCAGTGCTGGATTCCCAGCATTTATAAGTCACCAGCTGTTCCATAAGAGGTGCTGAGGTGCTACTGGTGCTGACCCTGGCTGAGGAAGGGGCTTTTGATGTTTCATGCCCTTTTGGTGTCAGCCCCCATCTTAAATATCTTGCCCATAAATGCTTGCGAAGCTTGGCTCCAAGTCTTCTCCTCGGCTCCATAGACAAAACTCTTACTTATCACCTTGATTATTAGAGGCAACATAATGCAGCAAAAAGAATTCCAGGGTCAGAGTTGGGTGAGATCTGAGCTCATCAGATCCAGGCTTTGACATTTACTAGCTATGTGATGACAGCTGCTTGTGAGGAGCAAGTCACTTAATCCCTCTGAGCCTCATTTTCCTCATCTGTAAAATGGGCATGATGAGAGAGGGGCCTGCCTCAAAGGGTTGTATGAAGACCAATCAACCCACTCAATCAGTAAGCATGTATGAAGTGCCTACTCTGTGTGGACACCCAGGACACACATGGGAAATAGTCTCTGCCCTCAAGAAGCTTACATTTTTTTGGGGGGAGACATTCACATACAGGTGTATGGATATTTTGCTGTTTGGTGTTTGCCAAATAGATAAAAGATAATCTGGGGGGACAAAGACACTAGCACCTGACCGGAGAGGGGGGTAGGGGATGGGGAGAGACAGACCAGGAGAGCCTAGAAAGTGGCACCAAGGATGAGTATTGATGGAAACTGGGGATTCTCGGAGGCAGGAGTGAGGAGAAAGTGCATTCAAGGTATGGAAGGCAGCAGTGGGAAATGAATTGTCCTGCATGAAAAAGGGTAAGATGAGATAATGTGCTGCTTAAAGCTCTTTGCAAAGTTTAAAGTGTTACATAAATGTCAGAGGCAGCTGGGTGGTTCAGTGGGTAGAGTGCGAGGCCTGGAATCAGAAAGATTCATCTTCCTGAGTTAGTTCAAATCTGGCCTCAGACTGAGTGTGTGACCCTGGGCAAGTCACTTAACCCTGTATGCCTCAGTTTCCTCATTTGTAAAATGAGCTGGAGAGGGAAATGGCAAACCACTCCAGTGTCTTTGCCAAGAAAACCCCAAATGGAGTCTTGAAGAGTTGGACACAACTGAAACGACTCGACGACAAAAGTGTCAGATATTATCCTTTTTATCTAAAGTTGCTCAGATAATCTAGGGAAAAGTTTGAGCCTCAGACTTCAGGCCTGTGAACTGGGCATCTCTCTCACTTAGACTACTGCCAGTAGGTCCAGATAGATGCTGCTATGGTGGCCAGAGCCTTAAAAATAATAATTATTCACTTTTGTGAATTCCTTTGTATTATACTTTAGGATTTGCCAAGTACTTTCCTATCCTAGGATCACAGAATCCTAGATGACAGCTGAGTGGGATCTTAAAGGCCACCTGGTCTAATTCCTTCATTTTACAGTTGAGGAAACCGAGGCTCAGAGTTGTGACTTGTCTTGCCCACGGTCCTCCAAGCTATTAAGCTCAGAGCCATGATGTCTCTGGACTCTTAAGTCCACTTGACACTTCCCCCTTGTACTGATGAAATGAATGAATGAATGAATGAATGAATGAAAAGTCTTTTCTCCCCCATTTGGGACCAGCAGCAATCGATTTTTTTTTTGCTAATTTTAAATAGATTTTATTCTCCAGGACAAGAATTGCATTTTCCACTTGTTTACAGTACTGATGAAGTGCAATGTTCACTCCTCTCTCTCTGCACACATTCAAGTATTCAGAATGCCCAGATTTACACAGTAACTTAAATGTTACTTTGAAACCACAGCAATGGATTTTTACTCACCCTCTCCATAGATCTTGAATCCAAACAATTTTTGTCTCTGATTTCCCTGCAATGTTAGCGCCCTCTGCAATCAACCAGTTATCTATCTAAACAGCAAAGAGTTAGATTTTTGGGGTGAGCTTTCCATTTTCCAAGGGAAATCCAGGAAGATAGGAAGATGTTACCCAACTGAATTGGATGGACCTTTCTTCACTTTATTGGGAAGCTTTGAAATCAAACCTCCTGCCTAACGTTCAGAAGAGAGGGGAGAAGCCGATGTGTTCCTCTCCCTTCTTTCCCTTTTGGTCTGAATTGTAGACTTGAAATGAAGGAAATAAGAATGGCACTCTGAGGGTTCCATTCAAATTTGTGGTATAAGAAGGAACACATTAATATGTTCTTCCCTTTGCTTCTCATCCTCTTCTTTCTCTTCTACTTCTTCTCACTTCCCTCCTCCTAGTCTTCCTTTCATTCCTTCTCCCTCCTCCTCTCCTTTTTTCTTGCTTTTCCACTTCTCCTTCTTCCTCTCCCTCTCCATCCTCTTCTCTTTTTCCTTCTCTTCTTCCGTTTCCACCTTCTTCTTTTTCCTTTTCCTCTTCCTCCTCCTCTTCTTCCTCCTTTTTCTCCCTCCTTCTTACCTTCCTTCTCCTCCTCTGCCCCTCACCCTTTTCCTCTGAGCCTCTGGGAAAAGCCCATTTTGAAATCCAGAGCGAGGATGCTGCTTAGCACCGGCCACCCAGGACTCTCTGGTGGCCTGGGGACTGTCTGGGGGGAAGAGGGGGGCGAGTTGCCATCAACTCGGCATCTGCTTATCCCCTCTCAGGGTGGAGACGATCCTGCAGTGACAAGTCCCTGCTCAGGCATGGAATCCTTGCCTTCTGAGGTGTCAAAGGGCAGCACCATCTAGCGGTACCTTTGAGGCAGCTGCTGGGTGTTAGAAGCCTAAGATGCGGCCCAGCAGCAGTGGACAAAGGAAAATGGACAAAAGGAGCCTGTTTGGGTTTGGGGGGGCTTTCTGAGTGTCCCCCTCCAACTCTTTTCCTTCCTCTTTACAGAACTCCACGGTGACCATTGAGGAATTCCATTGCAAGCTGCAAGAGGCCACCAACTTTCCTCTTCGTCCCTTTGTGATTCCGTTCTTAAAGGTAACAGGCAAGCCCCAGATGCCCCAGGGACCAAGGCCAGCACTCTGTGACACTCCCCCCCACCCTGCTCCCCACCCCTCACCCCCCCCCCCATTGATTTCCAGCCTCAAAGGTTTCAGTTTAAAAAGTTGTTCACCCTCCCAGAGCAGGCTCAGCAGGCCTTTCCAAGGTGACAGACAAATCTCAGATTTCTTAATCACCCTTGCAGGGATGAAGGGGGGAGGAGGCATTCTTCTTTACAAAGCACACCATCCATTTAGAGCTTCCAGGGACCTCCGAGGTCACCTTGCCCAGCGCCCTCATTTAAGGATGAGCTAATTCTAACTGAGGGCCAGGGTGGAAAAATAAATTGCCCAAGACCACCCTACAGTAATATCAGAGATGGGCTTCAAACCCAGCTCCTAGGATAGTAAATGGACAGATGGAAGTGACTTCCAAGGTCTGTCACACAACCCCCTCTTATTACAGTGGAGGAAACTAAGGGCCAGAAAGATGGCATGGCTTTGCCCCAGGTTATTTGTGTCAAAGCTCGGGTCTTCTGACTCACAATTCAGCACTCTCCTTTGTAACCACAAGGTGGTGCAGCTGCTTCCAGATCTGATGTAGGAAAGCCTTTAGCCCAAGTTTATTTGGGGTACATAGGAGCGTGTGTCCCTTTCTCTTGGGGTCTGGTAGCCGAAGGGATGAGAAGAGAGGGCAGTGGTACAGCTTCCTGCACACCCCTTCTCTGCAAATGCAAAGACCTGAGGAAGGTGTGCTTATAGCTGTCAGTTAATATCTTGGTAGGAATGAGTGGGCAGGCCAGGCCACTGGGATCTGAGAAAATCCCGGCAATGCTGTCCTAGGGGATTCTAGGAACAAGGAGAGAGAGACGTGGCTGGGAGGATCTCTGCTACAAATGATACGGATACGAACCGGCTCCAGATTTTAGCTGTGACATTTTCATCACTGAGTCCTGATGACTTTGGACGAGTCTTTAGCCGATATCCTTAGCCCTTCACCCCCACAGGGAATTCCAAGTCAGTTCGGACACATAGTCCAGCTGCTTCCAGCTTTTTCCTTTTTGCCCTCTGGAAGTCTCTGCTGAGAGGGCAAGAAGAGAGGTGAGCCCCAACTAATCTCCCATGGCTACACCAACCACCCTCATGATTCAGGAGATGCCATCTGTTCCCTCTTCCCCTTTGTTCCTTCCAAAGTGCTGTGTGGGGACCCACCCCAAGAGCAGCTGCGGGGGAGGGGAAGGGACAGGACAGGACAGGGAGGATGAGGAAGGAAACATTGGCAACGGCTGACTTTCTAAAGGGAAGGCAACTGAAAGATCTTATTTGTGGCCTTTAAGAGGTAGGCCCCTACAATGATGTGGGCCTCACTGCTAGGCTTTAGGAATTTGTTTTATATTGTTTCTCTGACTCCTCCCTCACAATGATTGGTTGCTTCTTGCAACAATCAATATACCTACCTGCAGCAACCCCCACCCCCCACCCCCTACCCCTGCCCTAACCCCTGATTTTCTGGTTCTAAGATGATCTGGGCAAGCTGTTAAGATAACCAAGCTTGTTAGAACTGTGAGTAAAATAGAAGTCAGCAGGCTCTGAGCAAGTGCCTATAAAGTGCATGGATTTTATGCCAACTATTTTTGATTACTTAGGGACCTTTTTTTAAAACTTTTACAAGAATTAGGGAGAGGGATCTATTAGATAATTGAGATTATTTGGTCTGTGACTGCTGGATGAGTGAGGTGTTGATTGTATTTGCTACTTAATGTCCTGTTTCAGAAGACTTCCCCACCCCCTCAACTAAAGGAGGTGGAAAACAATAAGATATAGAAAAAAATTTCAAAATGCTAACTTTTCAACCTAGCTGACTACAGAAGACAGTATTCCAGGTGAGGAGGGCCTGCCTACCAAGGTAGTGGTAATGTTAATTGGTTAATCATCCGCAGTGGTTCTGTGTGGACAGCTCTTTTGACCCTACCCCATAGAACTGTGTGGTTGTGCCGTCTCAGTGAGATTTCCTAGGCAGATATGTTCCACGCGACTCCGGAATCATGAAAGTATTAACAGACATGTTATCCTAAGAAATAATTACACTATGTTTTTATCCATCAAAGGACAGGTTGAACACAGGCAGAGCTCACCACTCCCCTCCCCACTTTCCCCTCCAAAATGCAAAGATCAGGCATTCTTTTAAAAAAAAAAATGTTAATCCCGAGTGCCCGCTGTTCATCTCCCTAGAACAGTGAGCCTGTCTCTGTGACTGCTCTGCCTGGTCAGGCCCTCCCCTCTCCTTCATTCTGCTGTTTGGGTACACAGCAGGCGGTACGGACATGGTGGCAGCTTTTTGGCATTGGGGCTGCTGTCAGTTTCTTTCAGCTCCAGACACTAATGAGGGTGCTGGCTGTATTAACCCTTCCTGCAGAGCTGGCTTCATGCACTCACATGCAGTCCCTCTCCTGAGCTGATGGCTCAGCCAAGAAGCAGCGTGACTCATAGGGAGCTGCTGGCTCCAAGTCAGAAAGACAGGGCACAAGACCGATTCTGACCCATCCTAGCAGTGTGACTGGCTCAGTCTCCTCCCCTCTCACTAATCTGGACAGCCCTTTCTGAGTGCCACTTACAAACAGGTTACCCAGCTGCATCTGAGACACCTTTCTACACCAGAGTTTGTGCAGAGATGAAATCACAGGTCTGGACTACCTTGACCCCTCTGCAAAAAAGAAAAAAAAATTGATCATCCATTTCCTTTTAGGAGAAAAGTCAGCTTTGGTTCTTTATTTCAGATTTAATTTGATTTTAGATGTACATTTAAAAAAAAATACTTCCACTCTCTTAAATTGGGGTTTTATAAACATAATAGCAGTCTTTATTTTTTATGTGCAAAGAACTCATATAGTTGAAATTTTAAATTCAGGTTATTGGAGTTCTAGCTAGGGATAGTCTTCAGTAACAATTTTAAGTTTGGAAGAAAGGGGAAGGAAAAAGAGAATCGGCTTTTATATAGCACCTAGTATGGGCCAGACATTGGGCTTAGTTCTTTACCAATATTTCTGGTCAACCCTGGAAGGTAGGTGCTATTGTTATCCCTATTTTCCAGATAATAATAACAATAATAATGATAGCTAATATTTATATAGTGCTTATTATGTGCTGAACACTGTGCTAGGTGCTTTACAAATATCTCTGGTCCTCATAACATTCCTGGAAAGTAGGTGCTATTATTACTCCCATATTATAGTGAAAGAAACTGAGGCACACTTTCCTAGGGTCACACAGCTAGTGAGTATCTAAGGTCAGATTTGAACTCGGGTCTTCCTGACTCAAGGCCCAGAGCTCTGTCCACTGAGCTGCTTTCTGAGCAAAATAACCACAGAATCCTAGGATTTCAAAGGATGGGACCATAGAAGCCATCCAATAACTCCTTCAGGTCAGGAAACTGAGATTCAGAAAGGTGAAGGGATTTGCTCAAAGTCACACAGAGGTAGTTCATGACAGAGACAGAATTCAAACTCTGACCCCTTGACTCCCAATAAATAAGGCTTTTTCCAACCATATCATATCACTTCTTTTCTTTCCTTTGACCCACCACCTAAAGGAAATGAATAGTCAACTAATGAATAAGGTTTCAAAAAGAAAAGCCTTAATTATTTGGCATCCAAGTTTTTAATCTTAACTAGGGTAACATCATTACCAGTCCTACCAGCGCTTCTCTTTCTGGTCAGCAGGGCAAGCTGCAAATTAGATGTTTGAGACCTACCCACACTCCTTCCCAACACTCTTCCTGCTAGAGGCACCTCATCCTTTCTGTCCCTCAAACCAGAAAGTTTGGGACGTACATTTCTTTCTCATTCTGTAAATCTAATATTGCTAGACCCCTGGTTTCTTCCTTCCAAATGTTCCCCCCTAGGGCAGCTAGATGGCGCGGTGGATGAAGCTCTGGCCTTGGAGTCAGGAGAACCTGAGTTCAAATGCGACCTTAGACACTTGGTGCTTACTAGCTGTGTGACCTTGGGCAAGTCACTTAACCTCCAATTGCCTCACCAGAAAAAAAAAAAAAAAAGAAAGCCAAATGCCCCCCCCAACAAAAAAAACCCCTCTTTTAAAAAACTCTATGTCCGTAGTGTCCTGACTGACAATAGAAACCCATAAGCTTTAGAGTTGGAAGGGGACCTTGGTTGGCATCTAGCCCATCTTAGTTGTCATTTTACAGAGGAAGAAATTGAAACCTAGAGAGGTTAATGACTTGCCCAAGGTCACACAGATCCAGAGTTCAAAAATAGACCCTCTGACTCCAAATTCAGTGCTCTTTACACCAAACAAGCAAGAAAATACCTCCTAGATTTAGCGACTGAGTCCTGGGTGCCAGAATCATAGATTCTTAGAGATGTCACATTCCTGCCAGACCACTGCTTGAACTCTTTCATTCATGTGAAGCTTATTATTTCACAAGGTAGGCTGTCCCATCGCTGGGCAGTCCTCAGTTGACCTGGAATTCTCATCCTTTGGATTTCTGCCCATTAATCTTGGCAAAAACAGATGATATTTGTTTGTTGTTCTGTGTAAAAATGGCCTAACACATGAGGTTTCAGAATAAATGCAAGGACCAACCTAGGTACTAGAGGACAGATAATGAAACATCCTCCTCTTCTTGGGAAGGAGGTGGTAGACTTTGGGGTGCAGAATGTTGCATACCTTATCCACTGTGGTTATGTCAGTTGAGTAGAGTGAAAACTTGACTGTTTTCCTTACACATGCATGTGTTCTCTCTCTCTCTCTCTCTCTCTCTCTCTCTCTCTCTCTCTCTCTGTCCCCCTTCCCTTTCCCCCCTCCCTCTTTTTCTCCCTCTCCCCCCTTCAACCTTCCTCCTTTCCTCCTCTCCCTCCCTCCTTCCCCCTCTCTCCCTCTTTCTCCCTCACCTCCCCTCTTCCTCTCTCTTTCTTTCCCTCTTCCCCCTGGCCTCTCCCTCCCTTTTCTCTCCCAACATCTCCATTCCTTCAACCACCAATCCTCACAGAAGAACATGGCTTCCAGACCCTTTGCCCCTATGACCTTCTCAGATCGTCTGCAGCCTATCAGTCTTCCTCCTTAAATAAGTATAGCAGAGGCTGGTGAGACCCTTCCTGTCTTTTGTTCTGGACATTACCCTCATTAGTGAAGTCTGAAAGGCCTTTTTTTTTCTTCTTCCACATCGTGTTTGCTTCTGTGTTGTCCTGTCTGTGCTTCACTCCTGCCTTGCTCATCCCCCCTCCGCCCCACATCTCTTGCCATATGACCTGTTCTCAGACCTCACGCCCCTACCCTGTACTCGTGCATGTGGTGTTTTGTCATCGCAGGACTTCACATTTAAATTCGCCATTTACTTTCATCTCCATCACTCCAGCCGTTGAGGTCACTTGAATCTTGATTCTGTCATACATCATCTCCACACACTCGATAAGCCATCTGGCTTTCACCCAACCATTGATAAAAATGCAGAATGGAACAGGGCCAGGGACAGATACTTGCAGCCACTGCTAGGGACTCCCTCCCAGTGGATCTCAGTCACATTCTGTCTGTAACCAAAACTCCTTGGATCCCGTTGCTCATAACATAATGAAGGGTATGGCAAAGGGGAACTGAATCCCAGAGCGCCAGAACTTGGAGGCACTGGTTGAAGCTTGAGAGAGAACAGGGAAACACAGTTTACCTCCCAGGCATTTAAATCCTCACATGTGTCTTTGATCGCATCTATCTGGATGTTCTCTCCAGGGATGTAGATTGCAGCTCTTCCTATGAGACTCTTGTCTGTGAGAGAGACTTTTTTTTTTCTTTACCTATCGAGTAATGAACCTGAAGATGTGGTTCTGGCAGAGGGCTGGAAGGTAGGATTAGAAACCAGCTCCATTTCATCTTGGGCAATAGCAAGTCTGGTTGTACTTACTCCCTATTTACTCTCCTTGCCCATGTAAAGTGTTGGGAGATGAGAGGTATCAGACATGGGCTGCACTAGCCACCAGGAATAGCTTCATTTGCAGAATTGAAACGTATCCAGTGTGGGGAGTGGGAAATAGAAAATCACATGTCATTGCTATAGGGTTTTGACATTTAAAAAGTAAAGGTCTCCGTAGTAGAGTGTGAGAACTGGCTTCCTGTCTTTCCTATCCATATGCTGCACACTGTGGGGGGGCAGAGCACAGCCTCCATCAGGCAGTGAACAGCAAATGGGAAGCGGGGCACCCAGGCCCCCCACTGTTGCTCTGCTTGCCTTCGGATTTTAGGGTGTGCTAACTTCTTTGAGATGACTGTCTTAACATGACCCATGTGGAAAGTATGCAGAGAGTATATTTCTGGACGTGTCCTTGAAGGCAGGCTGGGCCCTCCCCAGACACATGCAGTGACCCAATTCCCTTTCATATTCCTTGGCTCACTGAGATGTGCACGTGGACATCAGGACAGACAGAACCTCCATCTTCAGGCGAGTGCCCAGGCCAACCATGTCTTCATTCCCCTCTGTGCTCCACTCAGGATTCTCTAAACTTTATCCACCATGCCACAGCAGCCTCCACACTGTAGAAATTCCCTTCACCTCAATGGCCCCTTCCTCTCATTTGTCAGTTCCTCCTAGATCCCTCCACTTTAAGGAAAGCACCCATTCCAGTCATTCCCCACAGCCATGCACACGCTTTTCATCGTCCATTTTTGTGCTGTCTCCTCCCATTAGAATGTAAGCTCCTTGAGGGGAGGAACTGTCTTTCTGCTTTTATTTGTATTTCCAGTACTTGACACAATGCCTGGCACGTGGTAAGCATTTAATAAATGCTCATTGACTTGAGGACGGCTCTGCTGGATTATAAAGTGTGTGTATTTTTTGAGAGTGCTATTTTGACCGAGTTCTTAACCTCCCAGAAAAGACTGTCTACCTTTTGTTGTATACATACATGTTAGGCCCTGTAGTCTCAGCGAGCCATAAGCCCAGCTCCTGGCCAGAAAAAGCCCCCAAGGAGAAACACTAGGATCCTATAATAGATCCCCTTAAATGCTTTAAAAACAAACAAACAAGACCCCCCAGACATTAGACAGTGGAGACTGTGAGAAATAGGGTTCGTATCACTAGGGAGCTAGGAGGGCTGGGTTCTAATCCCAGCTCTGGAACTTACTTGGTGACCCTGGGTAAGCCATTTCCCCACTTTGGACTTTGGTTTCCTTCCCTGTTCTCTAAGGTGGGAGTAGGTGTTTGTATGTGGGGAAATCAAACCAGATGATCTCTCAAGTTCCTCCCAACTCTCAAATTAGAGAGCTACTATTAATAATCTATATAGTGAGGGTTTACTTCTAGAGCAGGGGGGAGGGTCATGTATTTGTGTGATATACAAGGCCAGAGTCAGAAAACGGCTTCTCAGTTAGAATCACTATTTCTTCCCCACCTCGGCTTCTGGGCTTGGATTTAGGAGAGACAGGTTTGAATATTGCCCTTGACACTTGGGCAAGTCACCTGGTGAGCTTCCCAGAGCCTCAGTTTCCTCACAGGTAAAAGGGATTGGAGTTTTCCTGGCAAAGATATTGGATATTGGCAAAGATATTTGCTATTTCCTTCTCTAGCTCATTTTACAGATGAGGAAACTAAGGCAAAGAGGGTTAAGTGACTTGCCCAGGGTCCTAGTAAGTATCTGAGGCTGGATTTGAACTCATGTCTTCCTGATACCAGGCCCGGCACTCTATCCACTGTGGCACCCTGCTGCCTCTAATAATGACACTTGTGAGGATCAAATGAGATAATCTTTGTAAAGCGTTTTTTAAAGTGTGAGCTAAAGATCAATAAGTTTTGTTCTCACCAGATTCCCATTGTGATTTGGCTCTTGCAGCCCACCAGGATTCCAGATTTCCATGTGCTAAAAACTAGTATTTTCTAACACATCAAAGATCCTAATGTTTCCCTTGGTGTATAACAAACGCAGAGGTCGAGGGTAGGGGATGGAGAAACCATCTCTCTGAGTATTAGAAGGCTATGTTCATTTTCTAAAGATTTGATCATTTCTTCCCATCGTTTTATTGTTAAAAGATTCTGTTTTCAATTTCTGATTAAAATGGAGCATCCCACAGAAAAGAGCGGAAGCTGCTATTCTAACCTTACAGGTGATTAACTTCATAAGGAAGAGCAGGGGGTTCAGTGGTTAGCACCGAGACTAGCCTTTCTGTCACATTGGGAGGCCCTTGCTGAGACAGGAGCCCATCTTTCCTGGACACCTGGGCCACAGTAGGTCTGTCCTCGCTCCCTCCACCCTCCCATTGCCCTTGGTTCCCAGCTGTAGCTTAAAGGGAAGATGAGCTTTGAGCCTATAGGAAGATAGTTTCTCTGGGACTCTAGAGTAGCAGGATACCTGTGGGGAATTAGAGACCCAAAGGGGGGAGAAGGGTCTTTTCCTTCATGTATTTTTGAGTCCAAGAGGAAGTCACAAGTGCCGGACAGCCAGTGGTACAGTATGGGGTGGAGAAGCCATCTTTCATGGTCTCTTCTGTTCCAGGCCAACCTTCCCCTGTTACAGAGAGAGCTGCTGCACTGTGCCCGGGCAGCCAAGCAGACCCCTTCCCAGTACCTGGCCCAGCACGAACACCTCCTGCTCAACACAAATACCACCTCTCCAGCTGACTCTGCAGAGCTGCTTATAGAAGTGCATGGGAATGGCAAGAGACACAGTCCTGACAGGTAAATGTGGCCTGGCGTTTTCCAACCCCTTAATCACTTTTTTCCTCCTTTCTCTATTTTCTTTTCAGCGGATTCCCTTTGCCCCGTACTTGGAACATTCTCCCTCCTCATCTCTGCCTCCTGGCTTCCTTTAGCCCCAGCTAAAATCCCATCTCCTACAGGAAGCCTTTCCTCATCCCCCTTAAAAAGTACCTTTTCTTTGTCAATCGTATCCAGCTTACCTCGAATGTATCTCATTTGCTTGTTGTCTTCCCGTTAGACTGTAAGCTCATTGAGGGCAGGGATTGTCCTTTGCCTTTCTTTGTATCTCCCTGCACTTAGCACAGGGCCTGGCAGTTGTTGCTCAGTCTTATAAGATCATTCCCCACCCCAGGTGAGGTTTGGGCTTAATTCAATTCAGTAAACATTTATTAAGTGCCTACTATGTGCCAGGCATCGTGCTAAGCCCTGGAGATACAAATAAGAAAAAGACAGTTCCTGGACTTAGGAGCTTACAATCTACAGCACACAAAAGGAAGCTGGGAGTGGTGGTGGGGTGGGAGGGGAGCAGATCAGGGGTACCTGCCCCCGGGGGCATGTTGGCCTGCGGAGTGGAGGTGAGGCAGGGCTGCTGCTGATGGAGAGTGGAATTGCCAGGAGGGCGGTGAGCCCCCTATCAAGGGTGGCTATGGGACCCTCTAGGCCTCCAGTTAGAGAGGAGATGCCGCTGAGGGTAAGTGAAAAGGTGTAGCGTATCCAGACCTGAGTTGTTCATCATCATGGTGATGGACTTATCCTGGGGAGGGGTGGGAGGTGGGAAGGCTTCCCCATGTGTTCCTACTGCCGCCCGATTTTTGCACAGTCAGCAGTCTTGCTCTGTTCTCCTGCAGGAGAGAAGACCCCAGCTTTGAGAGAGAACCAGTCCCCCCTGAGCCGCCCGCCAAGAGGGTGTGCACCATTAGCCCTGCTCCGAGGCACAGCCCGGCTCTCTCCCTGCCCCTCATGAATCCTGGTGGGCAGTTCCATCCCACCCCGCCGCCTCTCCAGCATTATACCTTGGAAGATTTTGCCACTTCACACCTATACAGAGACTCCACCAAGATGCTGGAACATCGAGAAATCCGTGGTAGCGCTGGTGGCGGCGGTGGCGCTGGTGGTGACCGACATCACGGGCTTGGTAAGCCAAGTGTTTCTCTCCATCTGTAGAGCTCTCTTCCATTCAACAGTCAGGTGAATTGATTGTATCTTACCTCAGCCCAAAGGCTTTCCTAATCAGCAGCAAGTACAGTGTGTCTCTGTTGTTGTCAGTACTCCGGAGAGAAGACCAAGCAGGGTAGTGGTAAGAGAGTCAGGGAAAAAAATTGAGGGGAGTTGGGGGCAGGGAGGCAGGCCTGTGATTCCATCTGCATCAGAAATGCCCTCCACCAATGCAGATCAGCAGCTCGTCTGTAATTTAGTCATCAAGAATTGCCTGGTGACCCTGAGAAATTGTCACTTGCCCATGTCACTTGCTCATACTCTCAGGTCTTCCTAAATCCAAGTTCCGCTCTCTGTCCTTCTCAAGAAAGCTACAAACCTCCAACTAAATTCCATTAGTTTTCTCTTTTTTGTTATTTTATTTTTATCATCAATTTAACAATCACAAACAGGTACTAACATTCCAGTAGACAACAATAAAACTTTGGTTATGTTTAGTTTGTTTTTCAAAATGTATATTCAGTTTCACAAGGTAGGAACAAAATTGCCTTATTACTCTTGTGTTCCCTGAATTTTTTATGTTTTATTGGCCTTTTTTCTTTATATGTCTGTCACTTCCCACTAACTCATTTAAACCCATAAATCAGTATTTCTAGTGAAAAATAATGGAAAAATATGGAATAAAATATTAGCAAAGAGGCTGTAATGATCTACAAGGTATCCCTAATATCAGTGCAGTTATACTTTGTAGACTAGCATATTAATATGTGTATCCTATATTAATATACTACATTTTATTTAGTATGTAACATTTTATATTAAAATATATATGTATACATACATCTCAAATAGTATCATAAATGAGATTATAGCCATAATTTCATTTGACCCTCACAATAACCCTGCAAGGTAGACACCATTACAATACCCATTTTAAAGATCAGGAAGCAAAAGGAGGTTTAAGTGACTTGCCTAGATCCACAAAACCATCCAGGAAATACCAAGGATAGTCTGCAAACCCATGTCTTCCTGACTCTTAAGTCCATTGGACTGTCTACTACATGACCTTGCCCTCAGTGTTGGTGCTGAGAGATACAGAAGGCCTAATATCCTTGGCTTGGCCTTCTCATCCTCCAGGCTAGGGGTTTTTAACCTTTTTAATGTCTTAGATGCCTTTGGCCATCTGGAGAAGTCTATGGATCTCTTTTCAGAATAATGTTTTTAGATGAAGAAAATAGGATTTCGAAGGAAGCCAATTATTTTGAAATATTGTTACCAAAATATGTTTTTTAAACTTTGGAGACCCCCAGATTAAGAACCTCTGTCCTGAGTTACCTGAGTTTTACCAGTATTCTGAAAACTGGGCTTTTGTGAGTAAGGGGAAACTCATCTCATGGTGCTTGACCCATGAAGGTGACTCTAGTAGCAATATCCTTAGGGAATTCTTGCTGTGCTTTTTTGAGGGGTGAGGGGGTCTCTCTTTGCTTCATATTTTCAATTCATGACCCAGTGTCTGGCTTCTTAGCCAAATACACCCTGGCTCTGAGTTCAAATGCAGTCTCAGACACCTGACATTTACTAGCTGTATGACCTGGGCAAGTCACTTAACCCCAATCGCCTCACCAAAAAGCCAAAAAAAAAAAAAATACACCCTGGCTATAGTTAGTGACCTCTGCCCTCAGTAGCCTCAAAATGAGAGAATATGGCAACTTGGCAAAACACCCATCCCCTTGTCCAACTAACTCAGTGTTCCCCAAACACATCCCGTTCTTTCTCACCATTATTCTCTTTTCACATTTTTCCTTCTTTAGAATGTGCCCCCTCGTCTCTCCCTCTTCTTCCACCCTACCCTGTTAGGTTCTTCCTTCAACATCCTACCCATCTTTTGAGCCCCGGCCCTCCAGTGGCACATCCTTCTTGAAGCATCTCCTGGGCTCTCCTTCCAACAGTACTTTGTTCATACCCCTCTTTGGGCCTTTTGCAGAGCCTGCCTTGGACCATAGTTATTTGTTTCCTGGTTTTATCCTTCCTTCCAGACTTAGAAACTGCTTAATGACAGCAATTTCATCCTACTCATTTCTGTGTCTCCCCCTTCTCCTGACCCCAAGCCTTGTGCCTTATGTGATCTAGGCAGCTCCATAAACATTAATGGAATTGAATGGAAGTCATTCATTTTTAGGAAGGAAACCCTTTGTACATATGGAATGGGATAGTCCCTAGAAGGGGAGCTGTTTTTTAGCTTATGTATCAACTGTAATCATCCAGATGAGGAGCACCAGGGTTTAAAGGCTCTCAATGATTCCATAGATGGAGGAGACGTAAGATGTCAGGAAGACGTGGTTTTCTAATCCTGCCTCGCATGCTTACTGTGTGACTCTGGGCAAGTCACCTAACTTTTTATGCCTCTGTTTCCTCCTCTGTAAAATGAGAGTAATAAAAGCACAGTGCTTTGCACACTTTAAAGCACCATATAAATGCTAGCTATTGAAGGGCAAAACTGACTCAGAGGAATGTAATATTAGGGTCAGGGTTGGCCATTTACAGCCCTTGGAGTGGGATGCTATGAGATTGTAGAATGAGAATATGGAACTCAAAATTTTTTTAAATGTTAAAAATTCTTGTTTACATGCAATTGAGGAAAAAAAGATAAAAATTAAATGTACAAAAAAAAGAAAAATCTAACAGTAGTTACGCTAAAAAAAAAAAAGAGATTGTGGAGTGAGATGTATTAAGGGCTCTCCAGCTTTGGAAACCTTTGCCTTGGGGCATTTCTAAGAAAGCAGGAGGGCCAGGCTGTTGACCAGCTCAGCTGAGCTCAGAGGGCCTTAAAGGAGATTCCCCAGCCTTGAGTTATAACCAATAGATCATTCATTCCTTGCTGTTTCCCCACCCAAGTCTCCTTGGACAGGAGTTCTCCTGCTAGCTTGTGTGTCTTTATCCCATCATCATCATTGCCTGCTTCTCCCTCCCGCATAGCTACTTCTGTGCCTTTTGAAGGCCTCTCTCTTTCCTCAGCCAAAAGCACTGCAGACAGACCCCCGTTGAGTCTAGAACGACATGCCCCACCCTGCAGCCATGAGCTAGATTATCCTCCAAGAGGTTGCAGCCTACTATGGGAAGCAAAGCAAAGACCAAGGTTGACTTACGTGTAAAAATGTAAAATACAGGGACATCAGAATACTTCTTCTGACCTTCAGCTCTGATGTGCAGAGCCCTGGGTCCCATGCTCTTCTAGCCAGAGACAGCCTCTCACCCTGAGCTCCAAGACACCAATAAGCAGTAGTTGTCTGGAAATTCTTTTATTTTGCCTTTGGAAAGATAATTGGTCTTTCTTTTTTTCTTTTATTTATAAAGTTGATTTATCATGAATTTTAAAACAAAGCCAATCACACATGTTTATGCCATCATAAAGCTTACAAAGCATTCACACTGCTCTCACAGTGGTCTCTCTTCCTGCTTCACAGCACCCCAATCTCCCTACAAACATTCTTCTTTTTTATTTAGGTTTTCTTTTTCCTTAACTTAGCCAACAATAAACATGAACATTTCAGTCAACGAAGAAGGAAAAAGAATTTGGATGTGAAATGGTGAACTTCTATTACATACAATTTTTGCAGTGTATATAGGCAGCATATGTTATTAAAATCTGCCTGGTTTTTTCTCATTTATAAACAGTACTGAGGGGAGATAGATAAGGCTGATTTTAGGCACAGGTATATAAGGTGGGTGGCACAGTCAATAGGAGGCTAGACTTGGAGATCCTTAGAATAATACCTGACATACAACAGGCACTTAATGAATGCTGATTGATTGTGAGCGGTTGTTAGGGGCCTAGCCTTCCCGGTCATACTGTTCGTCTCATGCCTTCTGCTCTAAATTATCTTGTCTTCTTTCCCTACACTGCCTCTTCCTCTCCTCACCCCTCACCCCATCCCACCCCACCCTCTTCCACTATGTTGTGACTACGGAGTAAACTCAGAAATTTGCAGCTAGGTGGTGCAGTAGGTGGAGCACTGGCCTTGAAGTCAGGAGGACCTGAGTTCAAATCCAGTCTCAGACATATAACACTTACTAGCTGTGTGACTCTGAGCAAGTCCTTTAACCCCAACTGCCTCACCCAAAAGAAAAAAAGAAAAAAGAAATTTGCCTTTCAAGTTTCTCTTCCCCCTCTCTGGTCTGTCATATCATTGGTGTAAGGAATTCCTGGTTATAATAATAATAGCTTGCATCTATGTATCACTTTAGATATATTATTTTATCCTCACAACAACTTTGTGAGGTAGGAGTTATTATTACCCTCATTTTACACATGAGGAAACTGAGGCAGAATCACACAACTAATAAGTGTCTGAGGCAGGTTTTTAGCTCAGGTTTTCCTGACTCCAAGTCCAGAACTATGTCTGCCACACCACCTGGCTGCAGATGTAGTCTTGGACTGGGCTTCTCATCATGGCACCCTAATACTGGTATCACCGTGTAGGGGCAGAGTACTAAAACAGACAACAGCCACGACCCTACTCCTCTCCCCCCACCACATCCATACCAAATCCCCAAGCACCCAGTGGAGCCAACAACCCCAGGCTTAACACACACCTGACTCTTGTGAACATGCCCTACTTCTCCCAGAGCTTACCCTTGCCAATGCCATCTTAGCTTACTGTTATTACCCCCGATCTTCCCCTGCACAGACTCGCCCTCTGTTCTCTACGTTCTCGAGGCTTAGTTTCTCCCACCCTGCTTTAACACCTTGAGTGAATGTATATCCTAAGATCTGAACCAGGCCTGAGCAATAGCTGGCATCTTTAGGCCATGGTACAACCCCCAGCCTCACTCACCCAGCCGTGCCTCCTTCGCCAGCATCCTTGGCTCCCGACAGCTGTTGTCCAGTTTGTATCAAGACTTCCTTGCACCTCCCTCCTAATCATAGAAAACATACTCTCTCATTTTGCACAGGCTTAAATGGAGGATACCAGGAGGAGCTGGTGGACCACCGTTTGACAGAGAGAGAATGGGCTGATGAGTGGAAACATCTGGATCATGTAAGAATCCTGGGCAAAGACATCTGGTGGGATGATTCCCAGATAAGCTGGCGGTTCTATCCTGTGATGCAGAGCTTCTGGACAGCTCTTCTTTCCTGTTTTAATGTCATCCCAAGTTAATTAGATATGTGGGTACACTACAAGGCAGAGGGTGAAGATGGAGAAGTTGGGAGTTAATGCAGTGAGTAGAATGGGAGCATTCCTCTTATCTGACCTTAGAAGACAGAGTAGCCAGATGAAAGCAGAAAACTGCAAAAAAGAGGGGATAGGAGACTACGATGGGCTTGGAAGAAAAGGGAGTTTGCCTGTAACGGGGAGACCTAGCAGTCATTTCATTTTAGTATGGAGTAAAGCAGTTTTCTCCCTGGTGCCTCACCATAATATACTGAGGGATTAGAGATTGGGGCAGGTATCAGAACAGGAGGAAATAACTGGGGTTCATGGAGCGTCACTGCTGAGCAACAGCTTGGAGCAGTGGAAAGAGTATTAGACTTCAAGCTAGGGGAGACCTGGGTTTGAATTCCAGCTCCAATGTTCTTCTTTTCTTGTGTGCCCATTGGCAAATCACTTAACTCCTCTAAACCTTATTTTAATTCCCTTATTTGTTTATTTGTTGGAGGCAACCTGGGTTAAGTGACTTGCCCAGGATCACACAGCTAGTAAGTATCTGAGACCAGATTTGAACTCAGGTCCTCCTGACTCCAGGGCTGGCACTCTATCCAATGTGCCATCTAGCTGCCCCTAATTCCCTTGTTTGTAAAGCAAGGATAATAATGCCAGTAGCATTGTGAGAATAAAGTGAGATCATGGTGTGGAGCAAGTTCTTTGTACACCTTGAAGAGATACATAAATGTCAGTTAATTGTTGTTATTGGCATAGAAGCCTTTCCCAGTACTCCTCAGTCTTAGCACCGTCCCTCTGAGTCATCTCCAGTGTCTCCTGACTGCAGCTTGTTTGTACATAGTTATTTGCCTGTTGTCTCCTTCTTTGGACTGTTAGCTCCATGAGGTCAAGGACCGTCTTTTGCCTTCCTAGCCTGAGCTGCCGAAGGCCGAGAGAACACCACCCCTCGTGAGGCCCAAATCCTAGGAACAATAAAAACCTAGGAGAACTCATTTGTTAGTGATCCTCCTCTCTGCCTCTCAGTGATTCTGAACCCCATCAGGTGTCCTCATTCAAACCCCATCCTTCCCCCAATCCCTCATTCCCATTCCCAGCTCTCCCAGTGTCCCACTCTAAAGCTTCCCACCCCTTCAGCCGTTCTGTCTGGCATGCTCACCCCGTAAGAGACAAACTTTACATTCATCTTCAGTCTTTTCCTTTCCCATTCCTTCTGTCTTCTGGCTCTCCCTTCTCATCTGGCTCTCTCCTGGTGATACAGCCCCTCTGTCCACCTCCTCCCATAATGGCTGTACTTTCATTCTCTCCCTTACTGGTTGAAATGGGACACTCCTCGTTCCCCATTGCCAGGTTCCAGGTTTTCCCTCTACTATTACTTTCACTCAGTAACTTCCTCCTTTGAGGTTTACACAATCCATATCTACCACCCAATCAAAATTCTGGGAGCTATTGTCCACTGATCTCCAGAACATCTATTTCTCAGTGAGTTCAATGGTTCATAGTCTTTCTTTCCTCTTCAGCTCCTCCCATCTTATGAGGGCACTTCAACATATGTTGATACCTTCTCAAACACCCTAACTTCATGGTTCCTTGCCAAGAGCTCCCTCCTCTCTCCTCCTCATCTCACATCACCCAAATACCTTCTGCCATGATCTCCTTCACCCTATCTCATATGAAGAGATGGCCCTTCAGTGTTGTAATGATGATCAACTGTGAAAGACTTTGGCTGCTCTTTTCAGTACAGTGATCTAAGACAGTTCCTAAAGACTAATGATGACAAAATGCTATCTACCTCCAGAGAGAATACTGATGAACTCTGATTGCAAATTGAAGTATGATTTTTTCACTTTCTTTATTTTTCTTGAAATATGGCTAATACGGAAATATGTTTTTTAATAGTTTCACATATATAATTGATATCATTGCTTGCCTTCTCAGTGGGAGGAGTGGGAGTGAGGGAGAGGATTTGGAACCCAAATTTTTAAAAGAAAAGAACACTAAAAATGAATAATAAATTGAAATGTTTTGGGGGAAAAAAGGTGGCCCTTCTCCTTGCTGGTGCTAACCTCCCTACATTGCACAGGCGACCCCGTTCCATCCCATCTTCTACGGCAGACTGATCACTCAAATTCTCACTCTCTTAATTATCTTCAATCCCTTTCTGCCTCTTGGCCGCTTCCCTACTGCCTGCAAACATGTCCACATCTCCCCCATTATCAAAAAGCCCCCACTGGATCCATCCATCTCTGCTAGCTCTCATCCCCTCTCTTCTGCCTTTTGTGGAATATAAGGCCATCTACAGTGGGTGCCTGCCTTCCTTTCCTCTCCTTCTCTTCTTAACTCTCTACAGTCTGGCTTCCAATCTCATCCCTTAACTGAATAAATGCTAACTCCAAAGTTACTAATGATCTCTTAATTGCCAAATCTAATGGCTTTTTCTCAATTCTCATCCTTCTTGACCTCTCTGCAGCCTTTGACGCTCAATTACTGTCTTCTTCTTGCTATACTCTCTTCTCTAGGTTTTATTGACACTACTGTCTTCTGGTTTACCCCCCACCTTTACCCTTTCCCTCTCACCCGCCCCATTCACAACTTCTTCCATATTGTGCCCCTTTCTCTCCTCTGACATTGCCATTACCCACCTGCAGATTCTCATCACCTCATGCCTGGACTATTAGAGTAGCTGTCTGGGTGGTCCACCTGCCACAAGCCTCTCCACTGCAGTCCACTCTGCTGCCAGCATAGGTCTCTATCTATCTGTCTGTCTGTCTCTCTCTTTCTCTCTCTCTCTCACACCCACACACCGCCCCTTTAATAAACTAGCCTGCACCACTACCCCTTTATCTATTCTTCATCCACCTTACACCCTTTGATATACTCTGCAGTCCAGCGATACTGGCTGCCCTCAGTGCCTGGAAAGCTCTCCATCCTCACTTCCAGTCTCAGCTAAATTTCCACCTTGCCCAGGAATCCTTTCCCAGTCTTCCTGAATTCTAGCTCCTTCCTTCTGTTGATGATTTCCTGTGTCTTCTCATTCCCAGGCTCTGAACTGCATCATGGAAATGGTAGAGAAAACCCGACGTTCCATGGCTGTCCTGCGGCGCTGCCAGGAAACTGATCGGGAAGAGCTCAACTTTTGGAAGAGACGGTGCAGCGAGAACACAGAGACCAGGAAAGCCGGGAGTGAGCTCATCTCCAGGCAGCACAGCCCAGGAAGTTCGGACTCACTCAGCAATGGTAAGAAAAGGAACCAGATGCATGTCCATAGACATCTGTAGCACCCACTTACCAGGGCTGGGAAGGTTCTTTTGTTAAGCTTTTTTGTTAGTTTGTTGTTGTTGTTAGGTTTGGTTTTTATTTTTGTATTGAAAAGAAGGTGGTGTAATTGGGGAAAAATAAAACATTAAAATTTAAAAAAATAAAATTATCACAAAAAAGAAAGGAAGCTAGTCATGGTAAAGTACTTGGGTAAATGATTTGTAAGATATTTCTCTCTTTCCTGGTTCTTAGATCCAGAGACATGCTTCAAAATATCCTTAGAGAACAACATGTTAGCGCAGGAAATAAACTTACCTGGTTGTGAATCTGAGCTTTTTTTGAAAGCAGAGAATTGGCTACTGGTCAATCCCCTACCAGTGACATACAGGCAGCGCTCGTCTTTGGAAGGCTGCAGCCCCTCAGGGGTTCATGGCTCAGTAGGGAGGGGCTTGGACAGCATTTGGGTGATGTGAGATGAGGAGGAGAGAAGAGGGAGCTCTTGGCAAGGAACCATGAAGCACAGATCTTAACCAAGTTAAAATTCTCTGTCAGCCTATGATGATAAGAAAGCCATCAACTTAAGCTGAGAAATCTAATTTTTTTTAATGGATAGAAATCTAAAATCTTTGCTGTTTAATTGTTTCAGTTGTGTCCACATCTTTGTGACCCAATTTGGGGTTTTCTTGGCAAAGATACTGGAGTACTCTGCCATTTCTTTTCCAGTCCATTTTATGGATAAAGAAACTGAGGCAAATGGGGTTAACTTAACTTGCATAGGATCATACAGCTAGTAAGTGTCTGAGGCCAGATTGGAACTCATGAAGAGGAGTTTTCTGACCCTAGGCTCAGCTCTCTTTCCACAGTGCCACCTAGCTGCCCAATAGCTTTAGAGACATTTGTATCTTAGGGGTTTTGTTATGGGAGTTGATGGAAATGGAAGGGACCTTAAAGCCCATCAAGTCCAATTCCTTCATTTACAGATGAGGAAACTGAGGCACAGAGAACTTAAGTGACTTACCCAGGTCACAGCTTATAAATATCTGGTCCAGTATTTGAGCCTAGATCTTCCTGACTTCTAAGATCCAGTGCACAATTTACTAATGCATATTGCCTCTTGGTGACCTGTATATCATGTTTACCCATTTTTATACCCGCCATGTATTTATCCCCTCCTCCCATAGTGGATAAAGATTGTTTTTAATGCTTTCCCTCAAGAGTTTCCCACAGTTTGTTTTTTCATATGTTTATTTTTTCATGTTGTGAAACTTCTCCTGGTGACTGCCACATTCTTTGTTCAGACGGCTGCCAGCCAAGGCTCTGTATGTAGCTGGCTCCTGGCTGATGGTGGTGGCCATGACCTTCTTTCTGTCATCCAGAGGGAAGGGCAGATGTGTGGTTGTTGTGGGTGATTTTGGATACACATCAGTTCCCACATCTGGAGGCCCAGGGTCTAGATCATAAGCACTTAGCTAAGAGAAAGGGCCAGGAGGCATTTGTTCCAGTGAACTTTGCCACTGATTGCTTTGTGATTTGGGGTGACTTCTTTAGTAGATAAGAATGAATCCTGTCAGGGCTGGTAAAGGGGGCCAGTGGTAGGACGAGGACCATTCTCATCCTCAGTCAGGGGCTTGCTTAATTTATACCACAACCACCCTAATTTTAGATTAAACAATATCAAGGAGACAAAAAAGAAATCCCAGCTTGATTAGGCAGCTTTCTTGCTGATTCCTAGCTGAGGTTAGTTAAAGTAAGAACATGGAAATTCAAATAATATGAGAATGGTAAGTTAGATAATTTTGGAGAATGGAGCATTTGGGAGTGAGGGTGGAAAGCAGTGCTTAGAGAGATGAACTGTTGGTTACCTGGGATACAGAAACAGGTGGGAGGAAAACAAAGACAAATCTGAACTCTAAAGATTTTGCTCAGGGCAGCTCTGTGCCCAGGAGGATGGTGGGGGAAGGGCAGAAGATGACTTTTTCTTGCCTTCAAGGTTTCCTCTTCTCCCTTTGTTCCTCCTTCTCTGTGTTCTGTCTTGTCTCTCCTTCCTCCACCTTTTCTTTCTTTTCCTCCTACCTTTTATTTTCTTCTTTATCATATGGTCTCTGCACAGAACCCAAAACTCAAGACTGGCCTGTTTGTTGTATTGTTCAGCTACTTTCAGGGTTTAATGAGCTTCAAAAGAAAGCCAGAACAGATTTCCTACTTGTCATTTTACAACATTTTTCTCAATCAGGGAAATCTATTCAGAACCCTTCTGTGTTGCCCCTCTACCCACCTCGCCACTGCCAAAGAGAAGGGTATACACAAACTTTGGAAACTTACAATATTTATAAGTCGAATGTGACCTTTGCCTGTACCTTAGGGGTATCTCGAAGTTAACACGGCCTTAAGAACCAACCCTATAGACAACAGAATGACTTTGACAGCTTTCTTAGTTCTACTAGAGAAATAATTTCAATTCAGTATTACCTAAAACCTGACTTTCTGAGTGAAGGCTCATAAATGAGATAACCGCTTTAAGAATAACAGCATGGGGCAACTAGGTGGCACAATGGATAGAACACAGGCCCTGGAGTCAGGAGGACCCGAGTTCAAATCTAGCCTCAGACACTTGACACTTACTAGCAGTGTGACCCTGTGCAAGTCACTTAACCCCATTGCCTAGTCAAAAAAAAAAAAAAAAAAAGGAGGAAGAAGAAGAAGAACAGCAAAGAGAAATATAAAAGTTCTCAGCCACCCATTGTCCTTCCCTCGAGTACCTGGACCTTTTGCTATTTTCTGCAGTATCTTTTAATATCTCTCTCCATTTGTGAAGGCTGGTCCTGAACCTCAGGTTTGAGAAGTACCTTGTTTGGCCTTATTAGATTCTGAATTCCTTTCTGGCAAGTGCTCACAGACTTGCAGAAGGAAGAGGGGTCTAGGGGAGAAACTGATCCTGAGCATTTGGCTTATGGGCCCTCTAAAATAGCTGGTACAGAGCTTCAAAAACTTTTGTCTCTAATGGTCATAAATCTATGTGATTGATGGACTAGGTGCTAGGCGCTGTCCCTGGTGCTGAGAAGACAGATACAAAAGTGAAAGTGCCTGTCCTCAAGGAGCTTATGTTCGGTGGGGGAGATAACATAGACACATTTAAGTAAATATAGGTATAAGGTAGTTGGGGAGTCAGGAATGGGGGGGGGTCAGGAAAGGCTTCCTGCAGACAGTGGTGTTTGAGTTGTATCTTGCAAGGAGAGAGTTTCTTTGAAGTGAGGATGAGGAAGGAGTGTACTCCTGGTGTTGGGGATGGCCAACGCAAAGGCTCAGCCACAGCAGATGGAGTGTCACATGTGAGGAATAGAGAGGAGAGTGGCCTCCCGTGATTCTAGTAGCAGAAGGTCAGAGGTCAGAGTGGGAATGAGAGCACTTGTTCTCAATCCCAGACCATAAAGCCTTATGGCCCTTCATTGCTTCTGTTTGCTGTCATGGCGTCATACTTCCTCTCTGTCCCTTCTGGTTCCCTTCTCTAGATGCCCCCTCTATGCCTCTCTGTACTGGAGGCTTCTCCTCTCTTCCTTAGAGCTTTCTGGCCCTTTGGCTCCATCTTGAGGTCTTAGATCCAGAACTGGAAGGGACCTCAGGCCATCTCATTTTACAAATGAGGGAAACTAAGGCTCAGGGAATGTGAGAGACTTGCCTGAGGTTACACAGTAAGCACCAGAAGTAGAATTTGAACCCTGAACCTCTGACCCCAAAGCCAGAGTTCTTTCCACTATACCTTGCAGAATAGCATCCCTCCTGCTCCTAAAGATGCTCAGTTAACACTCGGTTTCTAGACCCTTGTCCAGCATTAATAACAAACCAGAACTCCACAGTTTTGTAAAAATTATGGAAATAATCCCTTAGCTCCTCTTTGGTTTGGCCAACTTTGGTCATATCTCAGAAACAAAGCCGTGTAGACTGAAATTTTTAAAAGGATGAGCCGGTTAAGTTTGATTCACTAAACACTTATTAAGTGCCTGCACCATGCATGGCACGGCTGTTCCCTCCTGACTTGTTTAAACACACATACATTATAGCCCAACTGTAACCACACAGGCCTCTCCATCAGCCTTATTTACAGGCATTCTGGTGCTTGGGAGCGGGTTCTTCTGCAGTCACTCAGAAAAGCCTCTGCTGGGGCTTGTTGTTACTTCTGTCTTCCAGGAGAACCACAAGATGTCATATGTGACCTCCCTGTGGTCAGGTAGCTGGGAAATAATCAGAATTTGATTTGAACCCAAAGATTCCTGATTCCATATCTGGTCTTTCCACTACACTATTACGCCGCCTTAGTATAAGTTTGTTTTCTTGTTGCCTAATTCTTTCATCCATTTACAAAGCTTTATTAATTTAGATTTATGGTATTAACCTATTTCTTAAGATGTGACCTGAATCTCCAGGTGTTTGGAGTTTCTCTCTTTCTCTCTCTCTCCCTCTCTTCTCTCACTTTACTTTTCTCTTTCTTCCTCTCCACATTTTTCCCTCTCCCCCTTCTGTTTCTCTTTTTCTCCTCTTCCTCTCCCTGTCTCTCCCCCATCTCTCCTCTTCCTCTTTCATTCTCTTCTCTTTGCCTCCCTCCCCTTTCAGAAAGAGTACAGATGAAAAAGAAGACTGGGTCTCTCTGTATGAGGGTGGGAGTGGGGGTCCCCTCTGACACCACTCTATTTCCCATCTCTCTGCAGATTCACAGCGTGACTTCAGCAGTAGGTCAGGAACAGGCTATGTCACTGAAGAGATCTGGAAGAAAGCTGGTAAGTGTGTGTGAGTTTGCCTGCGGATTTTATAATTTCCCTGCAACTGGAGTGATTCTACTTGGAAGAAAGCATTTGACCTGGGCTTCAAATGTAAACCAATCTTTGCCATACCCTAGATCAATCAAATTAAAGTCTCCCCTGCTGGAATCATGTGATTGTGGGACTGACATTCAACCCTGTCTGGCCTTGGGAACCAAGCATCTGGCCCACAGGCCCTTCATGCAACCTGGAACTCATGAGTATAGATTTATCTGATGTCCTATGGGTTTTTTTCTGTATTTCTTTTTCCTAGTTTTTCTTTGGCCAGTCACAGAACACAGAATGTCAGATCTGGATGAGCCTTTGGAGATCACCTAGTCTAAATCTCTCATTTTATAGATGGGGAAACAAACCCAGAGAAAGGAAGGAACTTGCCTCAGGGTCTTTCATCAAGTCAGCAGCAGACGGACAGGAGTCAGGGTTCCTCCCACTGCACCAGATGCTGCCTCTCTCCTTTTTTTCCCCTTAATTTTTCTTCCATCCATGCCTTTTCCTGCTTTGCTTTGTCTTCACTGAACCCGGTTATCTTTTCCTGACATGGCCCCATCCCCCCTACCCAATCACAGCCTCCTGGTATTAACTCAGTTCACTCCCCATGGCTAAATGGGCTGTGAACAAAAGTGTTCTCCCACACCTTTCTGTCTTCAGTGGCCTATATCACTACCTGTCCTTCTGTATTCTAATCATCATCTGCCTTAGTCACTGCCCCCTTTCCTATAACCCCAACCATACCTTAAGAACCCTGAAACCTGAGTCTTTGTTTTCTTCCTTTTCTCTTGTTCATATAGCTCTGATATCCTCTGAAAAGTTTTTCACAAAACTTCTTTCTTGGCCTCATATTTCTCCCTTTTTAGTCAGCCTGGTAAATCCTGTTAAAATAGCCCTTTTATCCTATTACTGCCCTTGCTGAAGAACATGGAATGGCTCCCTAGGTACCTCCTGTCTGGACAGGATCATGGTCTCTAAATTCTCACACACACACACACACACACACACACACACACACACACACACACACACACACCCCCCCCCGTTCATTCTTGCCTTTCTGACTTTGTTCATATTTTGCTTTTCTCTGCCTAGAATTTTCTCTCCCAACCCTACCCCATCCCCCCCCCACACACCCCTGTTCATTCTTGCCTTTCTGACTTTGTTCATATTTTGCTTTTCTCTGCCTAGAATTTTCTCTCCCAACCCTACCCCATCCCATTCATTCACCCAACAAACATTCATTAAGCACCTATTATATACATAGTCCTGTGTTCTATGCCGGGGGATATACCAAGTTTGGATAAAACCATGTCCCTGTTTTGAGGGAGCTCACAGCCTAGAGATGAGAGACACATAGAAAAGTAACTGTAGTATACAATATTATTATATTAGTGTATATTAGACATATACAAGCAAAGTTCCTTGTGGGATCTTTGGAGGAAGATTTTTTTTAACCAGGAGAATTAGGGAGGTCTTCCTGGAGGAAGTGGCTTTACAAGATGGATAGGAATTCAGCAAAGGAAAAGAAGGGGGGATTCTAGCCACGGCAGCCATGACAAAGGCACTAAGATTGGAAAGCAGGACAAGGTGTATTTAGGGGGTAGAAAGTACTCCAGTGTTGCTGGCAGGTAGAGTGCATGGCAGGGGAGAATATGAGAGAAGGCTGGAAAGGCCTTCAGAGCCAGACCCAGCAGGGTTTGAACTTTCCTCAGTAGCCAATTAGGGAGCCACTGAAGATTTCCAAGTGGAGAAATCGGGTGACCAGATCTAAACATAAAAAGGCTTATTCAGGCAGTGAGGACTGCTGCAGTGGTCTAGATCAGGGGTGTGGAACCTGCGGCCTTGAGGCTACATGTAGCCTTCTAGGTCCCTGGGTGTGGCCTTTTGTTTTAAAGAACAAATCCTTTTATTAAGGGGATTTGTTCTGTGAAGTTTGGGTTCCGTCAGAGGGCTGCACTTGAGGACCTAGGGGGCCGCACGGCCACAGGTTCCCCACCCCGGTCTAGAAGATCTGTGCTGAAGGTCTGTGCCGTGGAGACAGACTGCCACATCCTGCCTATAGCTCAGGGCAAGGTTTAGGTCCCAGCTGCTCCAACCCGTTACTCCTGCCCTCTTCATCTTTCAAAACTGAAGCCTGCCTAGCACCATGCACTTTTTCTTTGTTTCTCCAGTTCTTCCACTGGTTAAATTCTAAACTCTTTGAGGCCGGTGAGGGAAGCTTGCTCCGCATTCCTTCTAGATCCCTAATGGTAACTAAGTTTTGGGTTGACTGATAGACTTTCACAGACTGTCAGAGCTGGAAGAGGCTTTAGAGGTCATCCTGTCCAGCTCCTTCATTTTATAGGGGAATGTACAGGTGAACCCAGGCAGGATTTGAACTCGGGTCTTCTCGACTCCAAGTCTGGAGCTCTATCCACTAGGCCCTCTAGTTAGGTCTATGCTAGCTCATCACTGAGACCTTCTGCCTGGTATGCCTGCTCCCCATTGCTTCTAAGCCTCCTGTTCTCCGTGTCCTTCACATCTGAGCTAAAGGTGTACTTTTCTTCAGACTACCTCTCCACACACACTGTCAATCAATCAACATTTATTAAGCACCTGTTATGTGCCAGGCACTGTGCTAACCTCTGGAAACCCAGAGCTGGCTTCTTCCTCCCTTGCATTTGCATGAATATCTCATTCTTGGATACAGCTATATCCGATTATCTCCATAGCATATTTGTCTTCCTTATTTTAACAGACAGGAGGCAAACCACAGCTAAACTCACAGGGCCCAGGAGAGTGGTGGTGTGCATTCCTGGGGCTCCAGAAATGGCTTTCAATGGTTTCTGTGAGGATATTTGAGGCTTGTATAAAGCATGAGTTTTCCTCCACTAGGGAACCACCCAAGTGAGCACGGTTTGTGATTAAAGGCAAGGATTGTGTATCATGTTTAGAGGTGACCACTGGAGAGGATGGCACCCTTTATAGGCTTGGTTCATATTTATATATTACAGTCAGCTCTCCATTATCTGGGCCAGAGTAATTACTGGTTTGTGTAAAGCAGAGACATCAAAACTATGTACCTGGGACACTCCCCCACAAATGTAATTGAGAAACACTTAACAAAATAAATAAAAATATTAATGGAACATAGGTAGTGTTAATATGTGGTTTTCTAAGTCAGCACGCGTGGCAAGAATCCTTATGTGCAATTTAGTGGCCCAGTTTCTATGTGAGTTTGACCCTACTGGTCTAAGGTATGTATATGAATTTTCTGCATCTCTTTTGCTGGGTCTTGTTCCTATGCAGTTTGGGTCCCTCCTTCCCTCTCTCCTCAGAGAGCTTCCACTCTAACACATTTGAAGGAAGAGTGAAAATAAAATGCTGTGGCCTCCAGGCCACATGGGGCCCTCTAGATCCTCAAGTGTGGCCCTTTGACTGAATCCAAACTTCACAGAACAAATCCCCTTAATAAAAGGATTTGTTCTGTAAAACTTGGACTCAGTCAAAAAGCTGCACCCAAGGACTTAGAAGGCCAGATATGGCCTTGAGGCTGCAGGTTCCCCACCCCTGTGGTGGGAATAACTGCCTAGAGTTCTCTCTCCCAACCCTACCCCATCCCCTTCATTCACCCAACAAACATTCATTAAGCACCTATTATATACGTAATCCTGTGTTCCCTTCCAGGGGATATACAAAGTTTAGATAAAATTTTGTCTCTGTTTTGGGGGAGCTCACAGCCTAGTAAAGAGATGAGAGATAAATAGAAAAGTAACTGTAATATACAATTATAATAAACAGAATTAACTGAATGGTGCTGAATAGGATAAAATTCTGGAGAAGGAAAAGCCCAGGAGGAATTGGCTGGTAAAGCTAGAAAAGAAGGGGGACCTGAATGTGGTCCTGAGCAATGGGCAGAATGTGGGAACAGTTTACCCTCTTACCCTCATCCCCCACAAGCACCAGGGAGTAGACTTTGCAACGAAAACCTTAGTTCTTCTGCTTAACCCAGAGAAAGGCCTCAGTGAGCCAGCAAGCTTAAAGAGAGAGGCATAAGCCTTCCCAGGCAGAGCACGCTGTCTCAGACAGAGGTCATGCCAATCCTTCCCAGCATATAGAGCTGGGGGCCATCATGGTTGGGGTAACTGTGAGTCTTTCTGGCTTTTCAATATTTCCATCAGGCATAACTTTCCCATTTTCCTGTGAGTGCCAGGAAGGGAATACGTATTTGTTAAGCATCTTGTGTGCCCTGGAGCACTTCACAAATATTCCATCCTATGAAGTCCTAGGGTGACATGCCTTCATGTTGGAATGGAAGCATGAAATGCAGGTGCAGCATTTGTCAGACATGGGACTGCACATGTATAGTTTAAAACAATGAGATCCCCAAATCCCTTGCTCATGCTCCATCTAGGCGAGTAGCGGGATGGGCAGCCATGCTTTTGCAGGGTTCTCTGGCCAGTTAATGATCCCGTCGTATTCCCCTAGAAGAAGCTGTGAATGAGGTGAAGCGGCAGGCCATGTCGGAAGTGCAGAAGGCTGTAGCAGAGGCTGAGCAGAAGGCCTTTGAGATGATTGCATCAGAGAGAGCCCGCATGGAGCAGACCATCGCGGATGCCAAGCGCCAGGCCACTGAAGATGCGTTTCTGGTTATAAATGAGCAGGAAGAGTCCACTGAGGTAAGAGCTTTCTGGGCTAGCAGGCAGGAGATCAGATGTCACCCCTTTCAGCCTGGGTATGGATATTAATGTTACATCTTTTTTCTCACCCAGAATTTTAAAAGAAAAAAAAAGTAGTGAATTGAATTTTGGGCTTAAATTTGTAGTATTCAAGGGAACCAACAACATTAAAGTATTTCTCCTTGGCATTGTAGAAAGAAGGTAAACTGCAGGTGTGTTAACATCCATTTAGAGAAGACAGGCCATTTGCAAATAAGGGATGGTCTATAATAGCAATATAGTATAGTGAACAGAGAATTGTCCTCAAACAAGGAAGACCTAGGGTTCCTGTCCTGGGCCAGTCACTTAACATGCTAGTGCTCTGGGTAGCTCTCTAAGGCTGTAGCCGCTAAGAAGTTGCTGGCTGACCTGTGTTGGCTCAGGGAGATTCCTCATCCAGGTGGTCCCTAATACCAGTGAAATCTCAGTGAAGTGCCTGCATCCCCCTCCATCTTCACATGCTCAGATGAAACCTGCATGATTCAGTTTGATCAATGAGCATGTGTTTTGTTAATAGTTCTTTGCCACCACATGAAGTGTTTTGAATGTTTGGGAATATAAGAGATCTTTCTATCTTCACCCTCCGTAGGGTATGTCTCTATCCAGTGGGCAAGGGCATCACTGGGCCAGTGTCCAGTTCATTTCACCTAGCACTGTCTAGGTGGCTACTCCATGCACAGCAGCGGGGCAAGGCTTAGGCATCAAAGATGGCAGTGCTGGTCACAGCTCAATTACTGTAGCACTTTAAAGTTTAGAAAACATGCTAGTAGAGTATGTTAATTAAACAGGAGATGGATCAAAGTATGTCATTTTAAGTAAATGAATGGGAACAGAGTTTCGTCAAGCACTGTGCTAAAGTTCGAGAGATGAGAAGAGATGAATCAGGGCATGTCAGTATCTGTGAATGAATAAGTGGAGGAAAAAATATTGATCACTACTATGTGCCAAGTACTGGGGGATAGAAATGGATAAAGTAGAAAATGGTCTCAGCTCTCAGTGTGTTTATCTCTAATGGGGAAAGCCAACTCATCCAGGTGCCCAGAGGAACATTATGTTCCTAGAACTGGCAGGCACCATGCAGAGCTGGTGTGGACAGGGCAGGCGTCAGCCATTCCCCAGGCTCCTGACAAGACCTGGAATGTCCTAATGGTAGTGTCAAAGAGACAGGCCTGACGGACTGAGCTGATCTAAGAACGAAAGGGACAGATATTCTGTATAATGGTGGGAGTTTTCCAGCAGAGGTATCGGGCCCAGTGCTGAGGCAGAACCAGAGGCCCATTCCCAAGAGAAGCCAGGGCCTTCCAACACTGGACCCCACAGCAGCAACCCAGGCGCCCATTCTCAGTAGGGATTGCTCACTATCAATCATCATGTGTACTCAGTGTGCCCTGGAGCCAGATTCGACTTCTGCCCACCAGTAAGTAAGTCAGCAGGTCTGAGACCCCTCCCTTCGCCCCTGACCCACAGAGAGAGCCCTCTGGCCTGCCATCAGGATGCCTTCTCTGTCTGTCTGCACCCACATCTTGTCAGCCATGGGCAGTGGGGAGGGATAGAGAAGAGGCTGAAGAAGGGAGCAGACTCACCTGACAACATGGGGAGACAGAGGCAGTTCTTCTTACCCCTCCAGCTCCTGGGTGGCCTCTCCTCCTGTGTGTAGAAGCTGCTCTGGGCAGGGATCCTGTCGCTGTTTTGTTCCCTTTTTCAGTGAGTAGTGGAAGGTGCACTGACTTTTTAGTCAGAAGGCCTGGCTTCCAATTGCAGCCCTTCAGCTTTGTTCCCTGTGCCGCTTTAGAGAAGTCACACTTCAGCTAACACTGCCTCCATTTTCTCCCCTGCAAAGTAAAGGGGATAGGATTACTTAATCCCAAAAGTCCTGTTTGACTGTAAAATCCATGCTCCTAAACATCTGTAATGCAGAATGTGGTGGGGTTTTTCTTTTAAAAAAAAAAAAAGACAAGCTGAAATTAATTGGCATAGTTGGTGAAATGCTGGACTTGGAATCAGGCATGCCATGCCTGAGTTCAAATCCTCCCTCAGGTACTTAATAAGTCTGTAGTACTAGGCAACTCACTTAGCCTCTTTAAGACTCAGTTTCCTCATCTGTAAAATGGGAATAATAGTAAAACACCTTCCTCACCAGGTTGTAGCAAGAAACAAATGGGTTAGCACATGTAAAGCATTTTGCAAACCTTAAAACCCTACATAAATGCTAGCAATATTATTGTTAATAATAATAATGATGCTAACGATGGTTTAAAATAATAAGAATGATGTTCATAATAATAGAGGTTTAGGCTAAATTGCAGTGGTTTCAAACCTGTGCCGTTCTCGGGCCTCCCTGTAGCTGAATGGAGGAGCTGTGAAGGCTCTTGGTCCTACTGACTTGAATACTTCTCCGTAGGCCCAAAGCTTTTCTTCTGGAGTCCAGCTCTGTTGACCCAGACCAGAGAACCCCTGGGATATCAGCTGGTCAGAGGGTAAAGCCTGAGGCAGCCTTGTCCTCCTCGGCCTCCCAGGAGTTAAGCCTAGCCGATTTTAATAGCCTTCGGTTGCTTCAGCTGTGTTTTCCGGCAGCCCCAAGCCCTGCTCCGTTAAGAGTGCCTGCTGCCCTCTGGAACTTTCCTGAGGCCCTCCTCACTTGTTGCCCGGAGAGCTGCCTCCCGCTCCTCGGCTCATGCACCACAGCTGTAGTAGGAAATAGCTTCTTCCCTTCCTTGCAAACTTCAAGTGGCACCGTCCTGATGGAGCCCCACATTTGGTCCCACTCCCTGGGTTATTCCCAGCCAGTCCCGTTGGCTGGTTCACCAGCTGATGGGCTTCTCAGGGTGAGGAGGGGTGTTTGGTTAAGGCAGGGCAGGGAGGGGGATTCAGCCACCTCATCCCCAGCCTCACCTAGCTTCATTAGCCTTGAGGCTCAGCTTGGAACGTGTGCGACAGTCACAGAGGGAGCTCATAGAAAGCACCCGATGGAGTACTACGTGTTCTGAGTGCAGGGCCACAAGGGAAGCAGATCCTGTTTCTCTGCGGGGTTGATCACGGGTCTAGACCAGTTGGGGAGCGTGGCTCTGGAAGCCCTGTTCCAGGGATGAAGAGTGGCAGCTTCTGAAGTGACTTGTCCAGGCTCACACAGGCAGTATGTGTGGGAGAGGCAGGACTGGAACCCAGCCAGGTCTTCTTGAATCTCAGGCTAGTTTTTTATCCACTAGACCATATTGCTTCAGACCCTCCCTTAGTTAGAGTGAGCCCTAAGGAGACTTTCCCTGTCCGTTATTCTCACACCTACTTTCAAAGTGACTAGTGTTACTTTTATTCTTCCCCAAACCCAGGTCCCACAGCTTCCGCTTCCTGTGGTAGGATGAAGGTGCTGTAGTGTTGACCCCCTTTCCACGCCCTGCTGATCCCTGCTGGGGCCGAGTAGGGCTTCCCACAGAGTCCCATGGGTGTGGGGGGCTCATGGCTGCAGAGGCAGGTACACCTAGTTTGTCAGAGTGTCTGTCTCATGGGTTCCCACCCCAGCCATGCCTGGGTTCCTCTAAGGACAAGCATCTTTTCCAGTGCTTAGCATGTTGGGCTGACCCACAGTAGGCTCTTAATGTTTCTTGAATGACCATGCAGCACCATCAGGACAGTAGGAGTGGGGGACAGCCAGAGAGGCACCTGGAAAGAGCTCAGAGTCTAAGCTCATCTCCTTTGGTTTAGAAGAGCAGGATGTCTTCTCTGTCTAGCTTTTGGCTTTGCGGAAGACTGTATTACCTCGGTCTGCCCACCTTGACTCATGGAAACAAGCTTGTTGTCTTTCAGAGCTGCTGGAACTGTGGACGCAAAGCCAGCGAGACTTGCAGCGGCTGCAACATTGCTCGGTACTGTGGCTCCTTCTGCCAGCACAAGGACTGGGAGCGTCACCACCGCATCTGCGGCCAGGGGCCCCACAGTCAGAGCAAACCGCTCCTCCCCCCAAGCGGCCGCGTCTCTGTCACCAAAGCTGCCGACGGAGGGCTGAGCCCAGCCCTGGACAAGACCTCTGCGGCCACCTCACGGTCCTCGACCCCTGCCTCGGTGACGGCCATAGACACCAACGGACTCTGAGCGGGGCTGGTCATTGGCTCCTTTGTGGTCACTTTGTTACCGCCACAACCAGCCCCTTGGGCTACCACAAGAAGGCAGCGGTTTCAGTGGATACACGCACTTGTCAAACCATTGGCACACACCGTCTCATCAGAGCAGGCAACAGGGGACAGAGACAGCTATTTTCATTCTCTGTCATGTTCCCTGGGGGACAAGATGACCAGCAGCTTCCCCAGGGCAGACTGATGGCTTCTCCAAAGTCTTGCTGGCCAAACATGGCTTTCCTGAGGCTTCCCGTGTTTTCCTCTCGTGCACGGGCTATCCAGCCGCCGTGCATGGAGGTGGTGACCATTGCATCACTTTCTTCATTTCAGATCACTAGCTCAAGCAGCCCCGGGCCCCAGCTTCCCCTTTCCTTGCCTCAGTCCTGAGCGCCTTTGTTCCAAGGTTTCGATGGTTTAGGCCCCTTCTCTATCTTGCCTAGCCCACAAGCTCCCCAGAGCACTTTCTCTGTGGAATAGAATCGGTCACAGAACAACAATTCAGATCTGGAAGGAGCCTCAAAGGCTAGCTACCCAAGCCTGTAGCTGACCAGGAAGCTACTCTGCAGTGTCCCTGACCAGTGAACGTAACAGCATTTTCTTTAAAGACATCTGGTGATGGGAACCCGCTACACACTGCCGGTTTAGGGCACGGTGTTCTCACCCGTATGTCCCTGGCGGGCACCAAGGATCCCAATTTGAGCGGCTGGGGCGAATGTGACCCCCAAAGCTGCTTAAGTCATTGAGCCACACTGTCGGGCTGGAGGCCTGACAGGACCTTCCACAAGGAGATAAGCCACCACCCCTTGCACTCTGACCTGCTCCCAGAGCCCAATGTAGGGTTGGCTCAGACCTGGAGGAGGGGGAGGAGGAGCTGAATGTTTCATTAAACACATTAGTTATGATTTCTATGAATGGACATTAGTTATCCCTGCTCAGTTTGGGCCAGAGCCTCCCTCTCACTGGCTGCCGAGGTGCAGTTTGGGACCATGAGGAGGATGTGTCCTGATCTTTAATTTGTTTTGGGCTATGCAAAGAATATCTTCTCCACTGCATGGAAGATAATCCCTTTTATATTTCTATAGAAACAGCTTTTTTTTTTAAGAGTGAGCACAATAGAGAGAGAGAAATTGAATTTATTGTTAGCCCACTCTCTCCAAGCATGTTGGCCGAAACTATGACTATCACATTTAGAAACCGCAGACCCCAATGTGCAGAGCTCCATGGACTGGAATATTAGCTGTATGTCCCAGGTCATACTTGTCCAGGTCCCCAGGTTTCTTCCTGACGTGCCTGTGAGTCTGGATATGGTATCACCTCGCACAGGATGTGAAGCAAAGAAGGCTGGGATTAACGCAGCCTGGCACATGGGACCTGCCTAGCCACTCAAAGTGAGGCCCTAGGTTTGGGTTTGGTTTTTTTTGGTTTTTGTTTTGTTGGTGGTGTTTTGGGTTTTTTTTGGTTTTTGTTTTTGTTTTATAAAGGAAGCATGTGCCACGTCCAGAAAGATTTCTCCAGCTTCTGTGCTTTCAGATACTTAAAACATCCTTCATCTGTCTTGTTAACCATCCACAGGCTACATGGTGCTTTATCAAACAGTCCAATCCAGTGAGTATTTACTAATTGTCTCCTAGGTGCTAGGGCCTAGGACAACACAGACAAAATGGGGGAAAAAATGGTACTGACTCTTAATAGGGGTTTACATTCTACTTATTTAAAATGTTTTCTCTCCCACAGCTGCCCTGTTGATGCAAGAAATTTCCTCTGGGCTCCTCCTGCCCTGGGGGGTCTGAGGAAAATCTTATGGAAAAGAGAGAAAAGCACATTGTTAATAGCCAGCCTGTCATGGCTGCCTAAGCTGAAATTGGGGCAGAGAGAGAACGCTGAGCTCCTTAGGGAAAATGCCCTTGGTCCTACGAGCCTCTCACCGTTTACAAGTAGCTGAGCCTTGTGTCTTCTGGTGGGCTCAGTGGAACTTAGACCAATACATTCTCTCCCACGTGCAAGGCCCCACCTTGAAATGTGTGGCCAGCATTACGGGGTCAATACAGGAGCACATAGTAAGGAACCTAAGAGGGCCCACCATACACATCTTGTCTATTGGACAGGATCGGGTGGTCAGCACGAGCTAGGGGAGGCATCTAGTAGATCAGAAGGGTCTCCTGCCCAAAAGACAAAGAGGGTTCCAAAGATTTACTCCCATCGCAGTGAGTAACCCAGGCCTGGACTGACATCTCCACAAAGAAGAGACAAGTGATACTTCAACCCCACAAAGGAACGGATGAGAGAGGAGAGAGAAGAAATGTTTCACATCGGGAGCATCATTGAATCAGGTATACTTCACTTTAAGAAAACCCAGCAATGATTAGTCCAAACTTAGAAAACAAAATAACCATTCACTTTCTGAAGAAAGTTGCTATAAAATAACACTAGTATATTCAAAGGGCAAGTTATATTGGGTAAAAAAAGCTATGCTTAGAGAAAGGATAATAACACAAAACGTAAAGTATAGGATAACAAGATTGCTTCCACTCTCATTTTCTGTATTTTATAGTGAACCCCAGGGCTTCTTGGTCAATAGTCAGTGCTCGTCCTTGCCTATGAGAGGAAGGGCGATGCCTGTTTGTCCTTCTCAGTGCATATAGGGCTTCATCTGGATTTCAGCCAAGCCATCACAGAGTATCCGTGTGGAGACAATGGAGAGGCAGGCAGGGTTTAGGTAATAATAGCAAAGTTAAGCAGGCTCAGAGCTGGTTGAACAATTGGACTCAAGGAGCAAGAATTAATGGGTTCAAGTTAAGTATGGAGGGAAGGGTCTCTAGTGATGGTCACAAGGCACTGTCCTCATTAACATTTTTATCAGTGGCTTTAATAAAGGCCTTGTTTATCTACTGTGAAGCCACCTGAAAAGCTGAGAGGTATAGCTAATGTAGGGGGATTAAAAATTCTAATACAAAGATTTTCAGTGGGTTTCAAAAGATAGGCTAATCTTTGAAATTTAACAGGGACCAGTGCAAAAACTTAGGTATTTAGGTCAAAAAATCCATTACATAAATACAGAATTGGGGGTGTTTAGACCAACAGCTGTTCAGGTGAGAAAGACCAAGAAGCTTTAGGATGAACCAGCAGTGTGTCATGGCTAGTTAAAGAAGCTATCACAATCTTGAGCTCCACGTCCAGAGGTGTCGTGCCTAGAATGAGGGCAAGGTCAGTCCTGCTGCCCACCTTCCTAGTCAGACCCCGTTGGGAATATTGTTCCATTTGGAAACCGCATTGACAAGCTAGAGCGTGTCAAGAACTGAGCAACTCAGGTGGTGAGAGGACATGAAATCACATTCTATTGAAAGGACTGGGGATGTTTAGCCTGGGGAGTGAGAAGACTTTGGTTGGGAGTAGGAGGCGGCATATGATTGATGCCTTTTTGTGGCTAACGAAAAGGAATCCAAGGACTTATTGGCCCCGAGGCCTGAATGAGGAAGTATAGATGGAAGTCGCAGGGAAGAACATTTGAGGTCAATATAAGAAAAAATGAGCAGCCATCCAAGAATGGAACAATTGCCTTGCTTTGAATAGTGAGCCTCCAGTCACTGGAAGTATTCAAGTAGGCTAGATGCCCATCCACTGGTCACTGTAGGAGGGGTTCCTGCACCAGGTTGGGGATGACCTCTCAGGTCTCTGCTTGCTCTGATTCAGTGAAAACAAAGACTTTACCCTAATGCCCATTTCCAAAGACGACGAAACTGATAAGGTGGGAGGAGTCAGGGAGGTTGACCAGGTGCTAGCGTGTTCCCTGTAAATGGTGCTCCCCGTTGCTCCAAGAGGCCACTGTTAGACCCACATCCGCCCCATACGCCCTGTTGCATTGCAATGTATTTCTCAAACCAAATAGGTGTGCTTGTGTGTGTCTGTCCATCTGTCCGTCTCTCTCTGGGTGAAAACCCATCACAGCTGTGGGAAATGTGGAAAGGGCGAGGTCAGCAGCAGAGAAACAGCAAAAGGTGTTGTTGTCCAAGAGGGCGCCCTTGGTCTCCTAGGGCCTCAGCCAGGGCAGGGATTGTCTCACACGCTGGCGTTCCAAGGTTCTGGGGAGGCAACAAAAGTGGTTCCATGTCTGAGGTGTGATAGGAATGTAAATAAGAGGTGTGCCAACGGCCCCCAGTGGTGGTTCTTAAGAGAGGGTGATTGGGATAAAACCACAGGACTGAGGAGAGGACAGTGGATTGTTTTCTATCTTCTTTGCCATTTAACCCAAATAGCAAATTTTTTTTTGTCGTTACTTAATTCCGTGCATAACTTATTTAATGTCTTGTATAAAGGAACCAAAATTGTTAAATATGTATTTAGTTTGTTCTACTTTAAGTAGTCAATAAAAGGCTATATTCCTTTTCTGGCTCCAAGCTATTTTGTGAAGGGAGGGGAAAAGCTCATTGGCACTGGTGATTCGCCCTTCACCCCCTCCAAAGCCTTCCCTCCCCAGGCTGGCCCTGGAAGGCAAAAGCAGTGTGTCATGCCCCAGAGGGAGATGCCAAGGACACTAGCCAGACTCTAACACAAGGCAGGGGCACAAACAGCCTCACAGAGAAACCTCTCCCTCCCCCAGGCAGCCCAGAAGCAGGGCAGCAGCTTTTTTTCTCCTGGGTGACTCCTGTCCCGTACACAACAGCCTAGCACGAACCTAGAGCCAGGACTAAATTCAAATCCCTCTTCTGACACTTAGTAGCTTTGTGACTGTGGGCTGGTGACTTATCGTCTCTCTGGGCCTCAGTTTCCTTATCTGTAAATATCAATAATACCTGCCTTGTAGGGTCATTGTGAAGCTCAAATGAGATCATATATGCCAAGTGCTTTGTAAACTTTAAAGTACTATAGAAATTCATCAGTTGTTATCACTGTGTGCAGAACACTGCACTAGGCACTGGTAGACAGGATTTAGGTAGGACATGGTCCCTGTCTTCATGGAGCTTACAATCGAACTGGGGGAGGGGGGCAGACACAATGCAAATCGTAGTACAGGGTACCCCTGACATTTTAGGGCAGGCTTAAGTTATTAAAGCTTAAAACCACTGAGACTTTTGGGCTACTATATGCAGTGATACATGATCACTGTTAGAGAATTGCAAAGCAGAGTGAGAGAAAGGTCTGAAGGTGGGAGGTGGGATGTGCAAGAGAACTTACCAGGGGCATGAGGAATACCTTTTTTGGTGCAGGTGGCCATTGAGTTCATCTTTAAAAAATAGGCAGAAATTCATTCAACAGGCCAAGAGGCAATGGTATGAATAAACCACCAAGGTAGGAGAACATGGGCTGGGCGGGCGGGGAGTAACGCAGTTTGTCTGAAGTGGAGAATGTTATATAGAGGGGAGTAATAGGAAATCAGGCCAGAAAGGTAGCATGCTGCCGGGTTATGGAGGGCTTTGAATGCCAGGCTGAGTAGTCTAAATTTTACTCTGTGTGCAATGGGTAGGCAGCAAAGGCTTCAGAGCAGAGGAGATCTTTGCATAAGGAATGTAGACATCTTGCTGAGTTAATCCTTGGCCAGCATGGAGACAGAAATAGAGGACATCTGGATACCTTTTCTTCCTTCTCCCCCACCACCCCCAATCCTCTCCTTGAGTCTTAACGCTTTTTCTTATCTGTAGGGTTGAAGTTGAGATGTAGGTGCAGAGATGGTGTGACTTTGCAGGAGCCAGCCGAGGATCTGAGGCCTCACTCAGACCCCTCTCCCTGGATATTCTGAGTTCTGCTTGAGATACAGTTCCTTATGTACAATTGCAGAGAGCTGAGAGAAACCTCAGAAATCATCTACAGATGAGGGGACTGACGCAGAGGCCCTGAGATGTTGATTCACCCAAGGGCCTGTAGCAGAGTGGGAATCCAAACCAAGGTATCAAGTGTAAATCTGGAGTTTTTTATACACTAGATTTCCTGTATCTGAAAGATCAACTCCAGGAGCTAACTCTTTCCCCAGCACCTTCCACATAGGAAGGAGGAAAACTGGGCTCGTTCTCTGGGCCTTCCAGTCTGGTTTTGTGCTTCTGGTCCTTAGAGAATTTTGGTTGGAGGATAAAGGGGTCCAGTGGGGAGCTGGGCTGTGTGCTCTGCCCTGGTTCCAGATATCAGAGCAACAGGGAGCATGCAGTCTCCACAGGCTCCATCCTTCCCCCTCCCCATCCAACAAGTTCGTATTCTGTTCTTTGGAGAGAAAGGATCTAAACATGGGAACTAGAGGGCAGGCCAAGGCGGCAGGGAATGAAAGGTCTAATAGAACATTCAGGCAGACCTGAGGGATAGAAGAAAAGGGGGAAACAAGCTTCTTGAGCCCTTTATGGGGTCTGCACCCTGGGAGTTTATCTGAACCCTTGAACCTATGTCCTGTTTAGCCCCTCGGGAAAAATACATTGGAGACCTTAGCAGCCCCAAGGATGAGGAAGAGTGTTCAGGAAGAGTCTCTGGGGATTTAGAGGAACAGAGGTTCATTGTTTCTTTTGAGCGCAGCGGGCCAGGGCCAAGTTGGAGCATCCCCTGGTGGTCATGGGCCCTCACTACAGCTTGGAGGCTTCTTGGACATCATAGTTCAGAACTAGAAAGGATCGAGCTCAAGGGCCTTCACCGTAGAGGACATCCAGGCTCTGATCTCTGATCTAGCCTCCACAGGGCTCCCAAAACACAGTGTGCTGGACTTGACACAGGAAGCTGGACTAGATGACCTTGAAGGTCCCTTTCAGACGATCTTCCAAAAGAACATTTCTAACCATTTCACTTGCCTGTCAAAGAAGCCCCCATCAATCTCTCTTGTCTTGAGGATAAAATATAAGCTAACTCCCATTAAGCATCTCAAGCCCTACCCAGTCAGGTGCCAGCCTACCTTTCCAGGATGATTGGGTATTTCTCTCCTCTTTACACATGTCGTTGTTCTTCATACACATAATATTCCATCTCCCTTCTTGGTGATTTTGCGCATGCTATAACCCATACTTGGAACCCTCACCTCTGCCTCTCAAAATCCCCTAGCTTCCTTCAAAATTCAGTTGAAAGGACAACACCTACAAGGCAGTCACCAGTACCCCTGCCCCTAGAAATTATTTTACCTTGTAAATATTTTGTGACATTAAATGAGATAATGTGCAAAGCTTAAAAGCGTTATATAACTACTAGCTATTATTGTAGACACATCTGAGTTTTATGTTGCTTCTCACACCCCTCTGACCCAATGAAATGTAACCATTTGGAGGGCAGAGACTGGACAGTGCTTCACATATAGTGGGCATTAGTAAATGCTTGCTGAGTAAGTCCAACCTCGTTTTATAGATGAGTAAACTGAGACCCTGAGAGTTAAAGTGACTCGCCCAAGGTCACACAAATAACAAGCAACAAGTCCAGGATTCTACCCCAGGTTCTTGGTCTCCAAATACAGGCCTTTTCTCTGCCTCTTACTGCTCAGTAAGTCCAACACCCTAATTGCCAAGATGCTCCCACAACCTGGTAGGGGTGGTGGAATGGGGACTGGAACCCAGGTCTCTTGATTTCCAGGTTGGGAGCTTCATTCAGCTTTCTGCTCGAACAGATCTTCAGTCATCCTTATGAACTTAGCATCTTTGTTTTTAACTTGCTCTCTTCTGGATGCTGAGACACTGTCCCTGCCCAGTTGGAAGAGAAAGGATCATTCCTTTTAAGAATTGACTCCTTCAGGGCAGGTAGGTGACACAGTGGACAGAGCTTCGGCCTTGGAGTCAGGAGAGACGGACAGAGGCTTCTTTGTCAGGCAAGCGAAATGTTTAGACGTGTGCTTTTGGAAGATCACCTGAAAGGGACCTTCAGGGTCATCTCGCCCAGTTCGAATCTGGCCTCAGACACTTGACACTCACTGTGTGACCCTGGGCAAATCACTTAACCATATTGCCTGGCCAAAAAAAAGAAAGAATTGACTCCTTCACCTCTATTGATTCCACCACTCTGACCAGCTATTACCATCCCCATTTCAGAAGTGATCCAGTCCCTGGCCTGCACAGCTGCCCTAGTCCCCGTTTGCCCTCCGGCGGGGAAAGCCTTCAAGCTCTGTGGGTGCATGACCAGGATTTGCCCCAGTGCATGGGCATTCCATGGATAGTCACTGAAGACACTGGCCACAAATGTGCAAAGAAGGGGTCCTCTTCCCCTGCACCCCCACCCCCACCCAGGCCCAGCCCCACAGGGGTGGTGTAAAGGTAGACAGCTGAAGTTTCCCTGAGCCTTGCCTCTCCCAGCCACTTGCTGACAAAGCTTCGCTTGTGCTGGAGAAAGGACCTGGGTGATGTGCATCCTGGGGCCCTGAGATTCTAAACCAGCCTCTCCCTCTAGGCCCCCCAGCTGCAAGTTGGCTTTGGGACCCCCTCTGTGAGTGAAATCAAGGTCAGGCTGGGGTGAGGCAGCGCCTCGATTATGAAGCCTGGAAGAAGAAAATGGAAGAGATGCTAGGAAGTGAGACAGGAACCTTTATTGCAGGTGAAGTGGGAGCCAGCGTACAAGGTCATCATGGGCTCCTATTCCAGGACTCAAGTCCTCAATGTTACTGCTATTCATGCAGTTACTTGTATCCTAAAGATAGCCGCATGTGGGTGGTACATGGACATGCAAAGTATATGCAAATTGCATGCAAATTAGAGCCCATCCCCTCCCCCCTGCCACCACTATACACACACATACATATACTACGCAGCAAGGCGGTTCCAGTTGCAGCCTGTGGGCAAAAGCCAAGTCTCCACTCCGACCTCCCCAGCAGGTATTACCTCATGGCCTAGTAGAAGATGACCCAGTCCCCACCAAGGTCTTCAGTCACCCTTCTAAGCCCCGAGTAAAGCTATGGAGAGTCACCTTCTGCCTCAGTGAAGAAGGCATCAGACAGCCGTAAGAACCTTATAAATCATCAAATTCAACCTGCTCCCCATTTTATAAATTGAGAAACCGAAGCCCACAGAAGGGAAGTAACCAACCCGAGGTAACAAGGCCAGATCTAGAACCCAAGACACCTACCTCCAATCCCTGAGCTCTCTTCTGCATCATGCTGCCGCTGAGAAACCCCCCCACCCCACATAGGTAGTTGCCTGTGCAGTATGGAAACCCACCACCGTGAGCAGCCTGGGAGCTGGGACAGATGGAGTTGCTGCTCAAGGTGGCTCGGAGGAGGGCTTCGGAAAGGCAGCAGCTTGGGCTGGGAGACGCGCTGTCCCAGACAGTGGGCTCCTCCCACTCTCCAGCTCTGTGAAGCCCACACAGAGCCAAGGCTATAATCTCGGTTGAGTCCTGCAGGGCTCCTGGGATAAGGGGCAACGTTGGGCTGAAGCACCCTTCGTCCTGAGACCAGGGGCTGGCCCAGGGTTCAGTTATTGTTCATGATCCACCAGGAGGCTGGAAAAGGAAAGTTGGGGTCAGACCCCATCTTCCTGGGTCCCCCTGCTGAGTTCCCACTTTGTGACAAGCCAAAGCACCAAGGGAGATGAATTTAGAGTTAGGGTCAGGGTCAGACGAGGCAGCGTTCTGGAAGAGAAGGGAGTCCCCACCCAGAGAAACAGCCAACAGCATCCTGAGCTCAGAACCTTCCCGTTGTCTCTGGCCCTTCCTTCTTCCTCATTCTTAAGGTCGTGTTGATTCTAATGGTAAAATCTCTCCCACATTCTTTCCCATTCTCATCACGTCTCTTCTGTACTACCATTAGTAGCCCTGCCTCCCCTGTTTTCTCCCTCATCAGTGCCATGCATGCCCCTGCTCAGTAACTCTGATAGACCCCTTAGGGTAAGAAGAGCCTTGAAGTCTAATGCTAACTCTGCTCCTAACTCCCTGCGACCTTGAACAATTCCTTCCCTTCTCTAAGCCCAGTTTTCCCATTAGTAACATGGGGGAAGGAGGCATTAGATGATCTCTCAGCCCTTTCTAGCTCTAAGTTTCTAAGAATCTATACGAAATGCCAAACTCCTGATGCTGTCATTCAAGGCCCTCCACAATCTGATCCCACTTAACCCCTCTCCTGTCTTACTTTTACACTGTTCCCTTCCGTGTAGTCTGTGTACTGGGAATATTGGGGGTAACATGCAAAGGTCTGGGATTGAGAGTTAGGGGGACAGGGAGCTGTCTCACCTGGAAAGAGCATGGTGGTCAGGACCTCTGGGGTCTGCAGGTGGTCAATGAGAACTCTCTGGAAGGCCTTGGAATAGCTTGTCTGTGAGTGACTGTGGAACATTGAGGGATGTGCAGCCAGAGCAGTGAGGAGGAACATGGGTTAGGTGGTTTTATCCGGTCCTACCAGCCCAAGATTGGACCACAAGCCCTGTACCTATGCCCCCCAAAAGATGAATCATGGGGGGCAGGTAGGTGGCGCAGTGGATAGAGCACCGGCCCTGGATTCAGGAGGACCTAAGTTCAAATCCAGCCTCAGACACATAACACTTACTAGCTGTGTGACCCTGGGCAAGTCACTTAACCCCATTGCCTGGCCAAAAAAAAAAATGATGGGATCACAGACCTAGAGTCAGATGGAACATCAAAGGACATCTAGTCCAACTCCCCATTCAACAGATGAAGAAACTGAGACCCAAGGAGATTAAGTGACTTGGCCAAGGTCACGCGGATAGTATAATTGAACTCCAGGGCCCCTAAGTCCAGAGCCAACGTTCTTTCCGTTGTGCCTTCCTGCCTCCCTGAGAGCGTAGAAAAAGTCCCCTTCAGCTCCCTCCAGCCCCATGAGCACTTACCTTTTCCAGGAGGCCTCGTCCTTCCAGAACTCAAACAGAATGAAAGTGGCTTCACCCAGCAGCTTCTGCGCCGACACGCTGGAAGGGACCAAACCATGCATGCACAGGCAGACAAACAGCCGGACCGTGGAGGCTGTCGGTTCTCCCAGAATCCTCTCCCTCCGTCAGCTCCCTGCCGGGCTCAGGGCCCCAGCAGCAGCAGCAGCTGATGGACAGCTGCCGCCTAGCTCCAAACTTCCCTGATACCCCTCTCGCTTCATCTTGCTCTGGCCCTGGGAGGTCGCTGAGTCTGAAGGACTCCCTCCTGTGCCGCCCTGGCCCTAATCTCAGGCTTCCCAGACCTTTGCCCTCAGCTCAGGCCAGGGGGACTCACTGGAGACAGCTGCTGTGGGCACTGGTGAAATCTGTATAGCAGCAGAGAGCACGCTGGAAATCCTGCAAGGCATTGTTGGTCACCGAGATCTGCCTCTGCGCCACCAGGATGTGCTGTCGAGAGAGGAAAAGGCACGCTGTAGACTCTAAACGAGTCACTTCTAAAGGAGCATCATCCATCCCGCCAGGCCAGGGGCGTGGAAGGGACGGGATGTCGATCCTCTCCAGTAGAGAAGAGCATTGAGACAGCCTAGGCCTGTGTCTGAAAGAATGCACGGGTCAGGGAGGCTGGGCCATAAAGAATAATACTGAAGCCAAACCAGTAGGTGAGGCGAGGGCAGTAATGCGAAGGGGGTAGTGCAGAGAAGGAGCAAAAATGAGAAGATATTCCAACTATGGAGTGCGGTTATGCCAGGAGAAGGGGTGGCCTGTCCCCCAGAGAATCCATCCCACATTCCCACAGGGGTTGAGTAGAGGGCACTCTCTAGGAGAGGAATGCCAGGGCAACAGGACCTTGGCGGAGGGTGGGGTGGCCCAGGACTGGTTAAGATAACAGGACCTAACAGTACATGTTTACAGAGGAGCTCAAAGTACAAGGTGTGGTCTGAATCACAATGGGGAGAAAGTATGCCCCCTCTTACTTCATTTTCAGTGCCCTGAGACAAAGCCCCATTGCCCCACCCTAGTTATAACTCTTAAAGGAGCCAGTCCCTCCAACCTTACTCAGGTTAGGTAGGGGAGCACAGCCTGTTAAAAAAATGCAGTGAGAGGCAGTGGCAAAGTGCCCTGGACTTGGGGTTCAGAAGAAATGGATTTGAATTCTGACTCTGACATTAACTAAACTTGCAATAATAATAGCTAACATTTGCATAGCACCTACTATGTGCCAGGCGCTGTGCTAAGCACTTTACAATTATTATCTCATTTGATCCTCACAACAACCCTGGGAAGTAAGTGCTATTATTATCCCAATTTGCAGTTGAAGAAACTGAGGAAAACAGAAGTGAATTGACTTGCCCAGAGTCACATAGCTATTAAGTGTCTAAGGCTGGACTTGAACTCAGGTCTTCCTGACTCCAGTCCTGGTTCTCTATCTATTGTTCTTGTTAAGTGACTGATTTGTGGGTTGGACCTTGTGTCCGGGAGGGTCCTAGGGAAGTAGAGGCTTAGAAACACACAGTCCTGTCCTTATTAGGGACAGCCTGAAATGAGAGAGGGTGCCCAGTGTAGGGAGGGACCCCTGAGAATGAAGCCCCAGGGCACTAGGTTAGTTGACTGAAACGGGCTAAGAAGGGAATTCTAGTGTGGAAACTCCCTCCACTCATGCAAATCAGCATCTCATCCCAATTTCAAGAGCTTCGGAAGTACTGTGAGGTTAAGGGTCAGACAAAGTCGGCCTCACTTCAAGGCTCTCCCTTTATCCTTCCTTCCTGGGCACATAGTAGCCGTCATTACTCTCATTCTACAACCAAATGCCTTGGTCTGAAAGGATTTAGAGCTGAAAGGAAGCCTACACGCTGTCCATTCATAGGATTGTAGAACCATAAAAGCCTACATCTAGAGCTGTGTATGTCAGGAACCATGTAGTTCTGCCTCCTATTGTACAAAAGGGGAGGCTGATGGAGGAGAAGGGATTGGTCAAAGTTCACATAGCTAGGGAATGATAGAACTTGAACCCATGTTCTCTGACTGTAAATGCAGTGCCCCATAATGCCTCAAAATACCAATATGTTGTAATCAGAAAGGCCTGTGGGCACCTACCAGGGCTTTCTGCTACTCGAAGCCTTTTTATATCAATTATTTCATTAGATCCTGATGATAGCCCTATGAGGTAGATGCTGAAAGAACTGTCATGTATTTTATATGTGGTTTGTAGATGGCGCACAGTTGGTGATTAATAAAGGCTTGACTCATTGAATGGGGAATCACTTGTCCAGCATCCATCAGAAAGTTAGTGGCAGAGCCTGGACTTCTGATTCGCAACTCTGTACCCCGAGGAAATCCTTGAAGAGGACATTCTCGGTCATGAATAAATTGGAGTCGGACTGGAGAACCATGGAGGTCCCTTCCAATTCTGTGATTCTTTGAGTCAAGTAGTGGGAATCCTGAGATGGAGTCTCAAGATGTAGATTGGGGAGCAGCTAGGTGGTGCAGTGGATAGAGCACTGGCCCTGGATTCAGGAGGACCTAAGTTCAAATGCAGCCTCAGACACATAATACTTACTAGTTGTGTGACCCTGGGCAAATCACTTAACCCCATTGCCTAGCCCAAAAAAAAGATTTAGATTGGGATATGGGGCTAACTAAGGATGTAGCTGTATGACCTGATTGAACATCAAGCCATTCCCAAGAATGTCACCTATACCTGTGGACCAGAGGCCTCTGGAAGCATGAAGAGCCTCAGCCTCTATACCCACCCGATCTGCCATACTGGGACTTGGGAACTGCTCCTTGAAGTACTCACCGAGTCAGTTGCTTTGCAAACTATGGCTTCTGTTAAGGGCTCCAGCCTCAGGGTGTGCTAAGGAGAGAGGTGATGGGAAGCAGGGTTGAGGCTAGAAGAGGTGAAGGGACCAAAAGACAGGGTAGGTAGGAATCTGAAGGAACCAGATAAGAGGTGATGGGGCTGGGATTGGGGGAGGGAGGGAAGAGCCATAATAGCTATGTACAAGTATATGAAGAGCTTAAGGATTAGAATTGTTCTTGACCCTGAATGACAGAATGAAGAGCCAAGGGTAGGTGGAAGGGTGGGTAAGTTGAGGAAGCTACTGAGAGCCAGGGTTCAAGGCAATACAAGGAGGATGAAATTTTTTTAATGGATCTATCCAAAAAGGAAAGGTACTGCCTTGGAAAGAGAGTGAATTCTCCTTCACTTGAGCCTTCAAGGAGATGAGGGATGATTATCCACTTGGGGGATACTGTGAAGAAAGGATTCCTGCCCATGTACAGGAAAGACTGATGCCCCTTCTAGTTCTGGGGTTTTCTGACTTTGGGATGGTGGGCAGACCCTGCCACCTTTCTGGGACTTCTCTTTGGGACTCCTGCCTGGCTTCTGCCAGCTTCCTGAGTAGGCTCATGCCAGGCCTTCTTAGCTGCCTCTGGAATGCAGGTAGAGAGGGGCGAGGATGCCTTTCACTGAGCAGAACAGAGCTGGGAACAGTGGGCCTGGAGCTGAGCCACACCCTGGGGGCCATGTACCTTACACTCCAACTGGTCTATGAGCTGCTGTAAACGATTCACTTGCACCGTCCACTGACTGTCAGACTCCACACATTGCCCTGCATGTGCCAAGGAGACGGAAGAGGGGCTTTGAAGGCCTGGCCTCTCACCCCTCCCAGGCAATCTTCCCCCCCCCAATCCCCTGCTCCTTCTTCTCAGCTGCCCCCTTCTTCCTCAGGCCAAGGGACCTCAGAGGTAGCATAGGCCTGCACCCTCTGGCTTAGCACAAAACCTGAGGTACTTTAAAGGAGAGAGAAGAAGCCTGAGAAAAGAACCTCCCCAGTGTGTGCTGAGGAGGCTACAGCTCCGAGGCCCACCCACCTGTATTCAGAATTCCATAATCCAGGGTGCTCGGCGACAGGCAGATGCTCCGCATGGCCCGGCGCCCAGACCTCCTGCCAGCCCGAGGCCGACCTGACTCTTCCACTTTCTGCATGGGCACATCCATCCTGCAGGGAATAGGCATGAGACCCAGATGTCTGAGTCCGCCACTGCTCCCTAGCCCTGGATACTGGCTGATGGACCCAAAGGACAGCAGCTGCCAATGCAAGGTGGTCCCCAGAGCCCCCTGCTCCCTGAACCCTGAGCTTCCCGGGGACATCCCTCATCCTCCCACTGGGGATCTACCTCTTTCTCAGACCGTTGCAATCTCTCTGCCCCACTGTCATCATAAAATCATAAGATTTGGAACTGTTGAAGACCTTAGAGATCAGCCATCCTAACCCCCTTCACTTTAGGGGTGGGGGGGTTTTAGAGGTAATTGGAGTTAAGTGACTTGCCTAGGATCACACAGCTAGTAAGAACTCAGGTCCTCCTGACTCCAGAGCCAGTGCTCTATCCACTGCATCACCTAGCAAACTCCCCCTTTATTTTAGAGATAAAATAAGGCACAAAGAGCTTAAGCGATTTGCCCAGGGAAGTATGAAACTAGAATTTGAAACCTTGCCTTCTATCTACAAACTCAGGGTTCTTTCACTGGCTCGGCCGTCTCTTCCTTTTCTCCTTTGTCTCTGCTGCCCTCTTGGACTCCCCCCCTTTTCCAGCACTGCCCAACCCCCATTTCCACGTTGGGCCCTCTTCTCATATTTACCGAGGGTCACCCATCTGGCCCTCAAGTGTGTCGGAGGCTCCCTCCAGGGAGCCCTGCAGGGCCTGCAGCTGATCCACTGTCTCTCGAAGGAGGAATCGCATTACAAACTGGTCCACTTTGGATGCATGGTCATACTCCTGGGGTGGGGGAGGTGAGAGGGGAGCATGGCAGTGACCAGGACCCCCCCCAAGAAACCTAGCTAACCATGTGTAAGTGTGTGTGCGCGCGCACACACACACACACACACACACACACACACACACACAATCCAGTCAGCAGGGTTGTTCCCTGCCTCAGGGCTGAAATGGTAAAAATAACTCCCATTTCTATAGTGTTTTGAGGTTCACAAAGCTAAATTAGTTAATACAAATAAAATTATCCCCAGATTGCAGAGGAGAAAATTAAGTACCAGAGAGAAGAGAATCATAGTCATGAGGGCAGAGTTTGAGTCCTGGCTCTGATAGCTGTGTGACGGTAAAGAAGTCACTTAACCCCCTAAACAGAGGAATGCATTGTGTGTGCACTATTAAGCGAGGTATCATCTATATAGGAACCATCATGAGGATAGGCTATAAAACCCACCTAATCTAATTGCCTCATTTTACAAATGAAGAAACTGAGGCCCAGAGAGGGAGGGAGTGCCTTGACCAATGTCATAGCTGATGGCAGAGCCAGGATTTCATTCCAAGGTTCCAAAGTCAGTGCTCTTCCCATTAAACCTCTCTGTCTCCCCTAGGGAACTTCACTCTGTGGATTTCTGTGGGCCATGCATCCAGCCTGAGCATCCTTGTACCAGCAGGAGTAGCTTGAACATCTCAGGCTTGGCTGCCTCCATCAGGTGGGCAGCAAAGGGGCAACCGAGAATCCGGGGATCACTCAGGTATAGGGTGGAACAGAAGGGGCTGGGCCTCTCACAGACAGAAGAGGACCACACGCAGCTGGCACTGGGCAGAAGGGGTCACTGAAGCCTGCAGGGACTGCCAGCCTCCCTCAGGGGTGTCCTGCTGAGCAGTGAGACAGAAGCAGCAGAAGTAGCCCTATAAAAAGGTCAGAGCTGCTGAGAGCAGCAGGAGTCCCCGGAAGACCCCAGAAATGCAGCAGATGAGAAATTAAATCCTCCCATTCCCCACCCCTCAGGAAAAGAGACACTAGAGGATGGGAGGGAGAGTAGGGAAGGGAAACAAAGCTATGTGTGAGAAAGGCTATGCAAGAGGAAATCTGCAGGGGATGAGAAGGCAGATGGGATCAGACCCTAGGATTTGGGGCGTCTCTCCCCAGCTTTCCCCTGTAATGCCAGAGGGGATACTCCAGGGAAAGGACTTCAGCCCTTACCTCCAACCCCTAAGCCTTTGCAGTATACCAGTAGTCTCTCCTTTGTCTTCCTTATGCCCCAGCCTTCCCTGGACACTATATCCTCCTCCATCATGGCCTAGAACCTCCCTAGAACCTTCCAATCCCCTCCCCCACAGTGTTTGAGGCCTCCTCTCCCCCTTCATGGATGGAAAAACGTGACTCCCTTGCCTTCTCCCTGGTCAGGGTTGCAGCATACAGACCCATCTCTCCCCATGTAGGTGCACACATATAACATGTACACATATACCCCAAACACAGCTAATCTCACCCTGCATGTGTTCACACTTACACAATTTTTCCGTACACAGTTAGTTACACTTATGCGCAAACACACCAATCTCTCCAACTCCCAATATACTCAACACACTTCAGACACATATAGCATCTCTATATACAGACACCCTAAATTCACAGCTCAATCTCTCCACATATACAAACACCACCACACATACCCCAGACATTATTTCCCTAAACACATCCTTGCACATGCATACATATACCCATACCCTGACATTATCATCCTATATCTCATCTTTCCTCCTTTTCATTGCCAAACTCCCAGGGGGAAAAATCATTTACACTTGCTACATCTTCCCCTCTCACTCACTAGTTTTCTAGTTTTCTGCCCCACTGCAACTGCTCTCTCCAGTTACCCAATGATCTCTTGATTGCTAAATCCAATGGTTTTTTTTTCAGTCCTCTTCCTTCTTGACCTGTCTCTGCAGCATCTGACTCTGTAGATAAATTAATACCTCTCACTTCTAGATAATTTCTCTTGGCTAAGCTGTCATGACACTACTGTCTTTTGGTTCACTTCTTTCCTGTCTAACTTCTCTGTCTCCTTTGCTGGCTCATCCTCTCCCATGCACTAAGGGAGATGTCCCCTAGGGCTCTGTCCTGAGCCCTCCTCAGTTCTCTGTATTCTCTCTCAATGACCTCATCAGCTCTCATGGGTTCAATTATCATCTCTATCTAGATGACACCCACATCTCTATATCCAGCTCTATTTTCTCTCATAAACTCCAATCCTACATCACAAACTGCCTACTAAAAATGTCCTCCTGGATGGCAAGTTGGTGTCTGAATTTCAACATGTCCAAAATGGGGCTCATTAATTTTTCCCCTCAATCTGCCCCTCTTCCAAACATCCCCATTTGTACTGAGGTCACTATCATCCTTCCAGTCCCTGAGGTCTGCAACCTCAGAGCCATCCTCAACTTATCCCTCTCCCTCAACCATCATATCTAATCAATTGTCAGTTCTCTTACCACAAACTATCTCATATCTGTCCCCTTGTCTCCACAAGACCTAGTTTGGGCCCTTACTACCTCTTGTGTGAACTATTTCACTGGCCTCTTAAATGATGTCTCTACTTCTAGTCTCTGTCCTCTCTGATCAGTCATTTGAACATTTGCCAAAATAATCTTCCTAAAAGGAGAGATGGCAGAGTAGCAGGAAGTAGAGATAAGCTCCATCCCACATACCACCCCCACAAAGTCTTGAATTAATAGTAGTATTAAACAAATGCACCAAATGGCAGATCATCTAAATATTCAAAGGAAAAATAAATGAATTATGAGGAGAAATAGACAGTAAGACTATAATAGTGGGGAACCTCAATTTGTGCCTCTCAGACCTAGGTAAATCTAACCAAAAAAATAACTGAAAGACCTGAATAGAATTTTGGAAAAGTTAGGTACCAAGGAATATACATATTTCATAGCTGTGCATAGCACCTTCACAAAAATTGGCCATGTATTAGGGTGTGAAAACCTGGTAAATTGAGAAAAGCAAAAATCTTAAACTCATTTTTATGGATCACAATGCAATAAAAATTATTTTCAATAAAAAGACATTGAAGAATTAATTAAAATTAATTGGAGATTAAATAACAATCCCAAGAATGGGTGGGTCAAAGAACTAATAATAGAAACAATCATTTCATTAACGATAATGATAACAATAAGACAACATATCAAAATTTGGGGGATGTAGTCAAAAAAGTCCTTAGCAGAAATTTCATATCTCTAAACATTTTCATCAATAAAAGAAAGAGCAAATCAAGAAATTGGGCATGCAACTAAATAAACTAAAAAATCAACAAAACTAAATAAACTAAAAAATCAACAAAAATTTAAAAACCCCAACTAAATACCAAAATATCAATCCTATAAATCAAAGAAGAGACTAACAAAATTGAAAACAACCCAACAAACTAGTAAGCAAAATTAGGAGCTTTTAAAAAAAAACAATAAAATAGATAAACCATTAGTTAATTGGATTTAAGAAAACAAAAAGAAGAAACTCAAATCATTAGTATCAAAAATAAAAAAGGTAAATTCCCAACCAATGGAAAAGAAATAAAAGAAAGTATCAGGAACTATTTCATCCAATTATATGCTAACAAAATTGAAAGCATAAATGAAATGGATTAATAGTTACAAAAATATAAAATGCTCAGATGAATAGAACAAGAAATAGAAGACTTAACTAACCTAATTTGAGACAAAAAATTTAATGAGCCATAATCAAACTCCCAAAGGAAAAAACACAAGATCAGATGATTAACAAGCAAATTTTATTATACATTTAGAGGACAATTCGTTCTAATATTATATACACTGTTAAAGATAGGAAAAGAAGCAATCCTGCCAAATTTCTTCTATGACACAAATATAGTCATTCGATTGTAAGCTCCTTGAGGGCAGGGACTGTCTTTTTGCTTCTTTTTGTATCCCTAGCACTTAGCACAGCATCTGGTACATAGTACCTTAGCATAGTGTCTGATACTTAATGTTTATTGGTTGATTGATACCTAAACCAGCAAAAGTCTAAACAGAGAAAGAAAACTAAAGACTAATATCCCTAGTGAATATTGATGCAAAAATTTAAGGTAAAATATTAGTAAGGAGACTACAGCAATAAGATGATATGCCATGACCAGGCTAGAGTTATAACAGTAATGTTAGGTTGGTTCAAATACTAGGAAAACTATAGCCATAATGCAATAATCATCAAAGCAATTTGATATTGATTAAGAAATTGAGAAGGTGATTGGTGGAATAAATTAGGTGCACAATAAATAGAAGCAAAAAGGATAGTAGCTTGGTGTTTGATAAACCCAAAGTTCCCAGCTATTGCAATAAAAACTCACTATTAAATTTTAAAAAAACTGTTGGGAAAAATGGAGACCAGTCTAGAGGAAATTAGGTGTAGATCAACATTTCACAGCATATAACAAGAGAAACTACAAGTGGGTATATGACTTAAACGTGAAGGCTGATATAGTAAACAAATTAGAGGAGCAAAGAAGAAATTATCTGTCAGATCTAAGAATAGGGGAAGAATTCATGACCAAACAAGAGAAAAAGAGGGTCACAAAAGATAAAATGGACAATTTTGATCATAAAATTTTTTAAATGTTACACAAAGAAAACCAATGTTGAGGCAGCTAGGTGGCACAGTGGGTAGAGCACTGGCCCTGGAGTCAGGAGGATCTGAGTTCAGATGCAGCCTCAGACATTCGATACTTACTAGCTGAGTGACCCTGGGCAAGTCACTTAACCCCATTGCCTGCCCCTTCCCGAAAAAAGAAAGAAAATCAATGCAGCAAAAATTAGAAGAGAAGCAAGTGAGAGGGAAAAGATCTTTGCAGCAAGTTTCTCAGATAAAATTCTCATTTCTAAGATATATAGGGAACTTTAAATTTATAAGAATCAGAGCTATTCCCCAATTAATAAGTGGTCAGAGTATATGAATAGGTAGTTTTCAAAGGAAAAAATCT